CGTCATTTGTCTTGCATATGGATATCCGGTCGTCCTGGCACTGTTGAACAGACAATCCTCTCTCTACTAAACTGTCTTTGGTCCTTTGTTGAACATCAGCTGTCCTTATACACGTGACTATTTCTGGGCTCCATTAGGCTCCATTGGTATGTTTCTCAGTGGTTTTGCCGTTACCACACTGCCTTGGTTACTGGGCTTCCCTTGATTTTTAAAAACTTAATTGATAGATCATGTATATAGTTGAAAACCTCCGGTCTCTCTAGAATTTTTAACTTATTATATATTATCTATGTATTATTATTATTTTATTTCCAAGAGGTTTTTCTGGGTTTTTGTTTTTGAGAAGTGGAGAGAGAGGGCGGGGTGGGGGGGAGGGGCAAAGGGAGAGTGAGAAACCCATCAGACAGGGGGCTGGATCCCACAACCTATGAGATCATGACCTGAGCCGAAATCAGGAGTAACGCGCTTAACCAACTGAGCCACCCAGGCGCCCCTTTAAGTGTTTTTTTTTTTATAATAGTTTGTAAATGTTCCAGTTTTAGGATTGCAATATCTTGTCTCCCTGAGAGTAGTTTTTGTTTCATTTTGTTTGAAAGTTTCTCTGCTCCTTGCATTGTCTGAGACTTCCTTTTTCTCCCCGACTTATTTCTGTCCCTGTGCCTTCTGCTAGAGGCTTTCTTTAAATGGCTGAGGATTCTGGCTGTGCATTCATATTTACAAGTGAAGCCGTAAAAAGCAGATTGAATGCTCTGTGTTTGGCATTGGCAGGTGAGCCTCCCTGCAGGGTGAGCTGGCAGGAACAGGGCCCTTTTGCTGGGGGTTCCCCAAATGTCAGTACCGCGTGTCTTATGGGCTGGGCTGTTTAATTTCTCCAGTGGGTGGGGGTGGGGGGCACGTGCCTGCCTGTCACTGTCCTGGGTACTGAGTGAGCAAGAGATGGTTCACGACATCCTGTTTCCAGCCCTCGCCTGACCCTAGCTGTGCCCTCGTGGTCCCATCCAGAGCCCTGCTCTCCGGCTCATTTTCTGCAGAGAGCAGACCTGTCTCAGGACGGGGGAGGTCCTGTTTGAGGGGCTCAGGGAGGAGAGCTGATCTGACTGTCTCTTCCATAGACTTTCAACCCATCCTCCAATTTTCGGTCTCATCTTGAGAAGTGCATGGTGCCTCCAATTCCTGAGTCTTTCCCAGGTTCTGAGGCACAAATGGAATCACTTTTGTTGGCTTCCTTTGATAGATGGTTTGGTTTCTGCTCAGTCCACTCTGAAGTCTGTTCCCATTTGGCCACCTTTCCATGTTTGTCTGTGCACTTCTCCTACTTGTTATCTTGGGCAGGACAGAGATAGACGCATCCTTTCAGTTTGTTGTATTTGATGGAAGGACATTTCTTTCCCTCCCTCCTCCCCTCCCTCCGCCTTCATCTGTTCCTCACCCCTCCCTTTCTCCTCTCTTTCTTCCCTCCACTACCTTCTACCCACTCCCATATCCCCTCCCCTTTACTCTCTTTCTCCTTTCTCCCCCTACCATCCTCTCTGCCTGGAACCTTCTGTGCCATAATTCTTCGGGGAGACAGCCAAGCACTTTATCCTCGAGAGGACACAGCCCATGAAATGCAGAAAGGAATGGATGAGGAATTGGCAAACTGAAGTTCTTAACCTACAGATACAATACACCTGTCCTCCTCTGCCACCTCGATGTCCCTTCCCATCCCTCACCTGCAGAAACCCGTAATGACCCCATCACAGCCCACCCCACGCGCAGACCTTGGCCCCGTCACCTGTATCGTGTCAGAGCTGCACGTCTGCGTGGCCGTCCCATGTCTGCCCACTCCATGTCCTTTACCCCCTTGCAGGTGTCTGAGCAGGTGTGAGGTCCTGGGTCCACTCCAATCTCTGTGGAGTGAGGTCCGGCTCGAGTGTCCTGGTTCTGGGGGTTTCCGATGTTGGGGCGGTGTGTGAGGGTCCCTCCTCATCAGGAGCGCCCAGAGCATCCTGTCCCCTCCCCCCTTCCCTTCCTAAAGGCTCCAGCCTGGTACAGAGTTGTCAGGAGCTCGGCCTTATACTCACTCTCTTGGGCCGTCTGCCCCGTGGAAACTGAGACCCTTCCCTTGTGTTGTGCTCCACCACCCCCACTCTTGCCCTCCATTATTGTTATTTTTAAAACAAGAAGGTCACCCCCTTCGATCAGCCAGGTGCGGGGGGGTGAGGGGCCCCCTCCATGGCCCCAGCCCTCCCTCATTGCCCACCTGAGCCTTTCTCCAGGGCCTCCCCCTAAAGAGACCACCACAGTGTCCAGCTGGCTCTCAGCTGTGGCTTTCTTCAAACACTGAAGAGTGACTGTGGCTGCGGTCCTCATCTGCAGGCACTGGGTGGCTTTGCAAGAGAATGGGAGCAGCTGAGTAATCCTGTCCCCACTCATGCCTTCCCACCCTCCCTTTCTCTCCTCCTCAGCCCCATAACTGACCCCATTGACCCAGGACTGCTGTCATGTGGAGTAAAAACGCTCGCTGGGTGGTGCTTCACAAAGCGCTTCCAGTGGGCACTGAGCTGGGGGTGGGGGTGGGGGGGGCGGGGCGGGAGATGTTTGCATTTTCCAGATGAAGGAGCTGAGGGTCCCAGAGACCTCATGACTTGCCCAGGGTCTCCCAGCTGGGAGAGGAGAACCCCTTGTTGACCCCAGGCCGAATGACTCCATATCCTGTAGTCCTCCTCCTCTGCCTGGGGCGGGGGTGGGGTGGGTGGGGGGGTGGGGAGGTGGGGAGGGCGAGTCCCAGGCTGTCCTCTCTTGCCCTGCCTGGTAATTACTGTTTTTTGGCTGGAGGGGTTCCTTGGTTCGGGGCCCCATGGGAGGGAAGTAATTACATCCTTTGAGAGGCCCTTCGTCAGCAGCTCCCTGTCAATCCCTGTAACTAAGTCTTGCTCTGACCTTTGTCCCTTCCCCATTCTCAGGCCAGGGCCTTAGAGAGTTTGACTGGATTTCTGTTTCTTTTTCTTCTGTTGGTGCTTCTGGCTGCATCTGGCTAGGCCCTCCCACACAGAGGGCCTATCAGTTCTGTTTGTTCAGGCGGATGGGTGCCCTCCTGGGTGGGGGCTGAGGGGAGGGAGAGCTTGCAAATGCTTCTCCACTGGCCCCACCCAGCTATTAAGGGAAAAGTGGCACCCACTGACCGGTGGGATCCTAACCTGGGCCTTCTTGTAGGCAGAGTCGTCCTGCCCTTGTGTACCTCCGTGTTCGTGTGCACCTCCGCTCGCTGTCCACCCCTACGGTCCCCGGTCTTGGCCGGGCTGCCGAGATTCTCACGGGGGCCGTCTCGCGCACGCACACATGTGCACACACTCAGCTGAACGTCTCAGGGATTCCCTATGGCTTTTAGGAAAAAGGCAGAACCTTTTATCATGGCTCCCAAGGCCCTGCAGAGTCAGCCCTGCCCGCTCCCCTCCCTCATCTCATACCCAGTTTTCTCCCTCTCTCCTCCCCAGTCACTCTGGCCTTCCTTCTGTTCTTCTTCCTTACCATATTTTCCACCATTCACAGGGCCTTTGCACATGACCTTCCCCCTATGTGGAATGCCCTTCTCCTATGCGCCTTTGCCTGGTTAGTTCTTACTTGTCCTTTAGACTCTCAGGCCAACCAACACCACCTCAGATGCACCCTGTCCAGCCCTTCAGTAAAGCAAGGTCCCCGGGGTCACGTGGCTCCCTGCACTTTTCCTTCAGAATACTTGCATAGTTTGTGATGATGATTTTATTAATATTGGTCTTGTCCGTTGGACTGGAAGCCCCATGGGAGCAGGGACCACTCTTGGTCTGTTTGACTATGACATCTCTTCCCTCCCCACTGTGTCCCTTGTGCCACACATAGTAGGAGCTCATAAAAGATTTGTTAAATAAAGAACTGTGTGCACAGGATCTCCTCACCTGTCTGACACTGGACGTCGTCTTCATAAGCCTCCCACCTCCCTGTCTTACTCTTGGCTGAGAGTACGCCTGCCACTCCTGAGCTCCCAGGGGTCAGGCCCGGTACCACCCCTCTGCCTTTCTTGTCATGCACATCACCTGGGGGGTTTATAAAGAGGAAGATTCTGACTTAGTAGGTTGGGGAAGCCTCGGAGACTCTTCCTTTTTAACAAACTTCCGTGGCCCCGTGCTGCTGGTCAGGGACCACACTTTGGCCTGGCCTGAGAGGTGGGGGCGCCAGGTCACCACAGAAGACATTGTTTGCCCAGGAACAGGGCCCTGTCCTTGGCTGTGGTGTTTGGTCCAGCCAGGCTGGGGACAGTTGCAGAACTCAGCCTGGTGTAGAGTTGGAAGCTCTGTTCCTACTCAGCTCCGGCATCAGCCCTCAGGCCTTGGCTCTAGCTAGGGGCGCGCTGTGGATGGTGATACCTGGGTGCCACCCTCCGCCTGAAAGAGATTCCTACGAGGTTGGCACTGTAGGCTCTTACCATTTACAAGCCCTTCAGTTGCCCTCTTTCCCTCCCTGCCTTGTCACAAATACCAACAAAAAGGGAGAGAGGTTCTTCCTGTTTTCTCATGGCGGGGTGGGGGGGGGCCTGAGTGTTGGGAGGGGATAGATGCGACTGCGCTTTGTCACTTCACAGCATCACTGTGGTCCTCACGCACGCACATACCCCAGGAACTCATTTCCTTGCTCAGCCCTGAGCCCCTCTGCCCGTGGGCCTGCCCAGAGCATGAGTCAAGTGCCATTCCCTTCATATGGAGGGCGGAGGGCTGGAGAACTCACCCCAGGGCCTGGTGCAGTCAGGGTCTACACTGCCAGCCCGGGGAGGCCCTCGGCCTTCCTTGGTGGGCCGCTGTGATCCTCTCCTGGGACCCCTGCCAGCCCTAACAGGATTCTCTGATGCCCAGGCCCTGTGCGGCTCAGAGAAACGAGGGGTGGGGCGAGGGCTCGCTGAGGCTGTGCCTGCAAGCTCGCCCGTCTCGGGGAGAACCCAAGCCAAATCCGCTGCCTTGTTCCTCTCCACCCCTCCCCCGTCCGGACAGGTCCCTGGATGGCCGCCTGCAGGTGTCCCATCGCAAGGGGCTCCCCCATGTCATCTACTGCCGCCTGTGGCGATGGCCCGACCTACACAGCCACCATGAGCTGCGGGCCATGGAGCTGTGTGAGTTCGCCTTCAACATGAAGAAGGACGAGGTCTGCGTGAATCCCTACCACTACCAGAGGGTAGAGACCCCAGGTAGGCGCCACCTGTCCCGGGCTCCCCAGCTACCTGCCCGTCCTCTCCTTCCCCTTCCTGGGGCTGGGGGTGTGCAGGGGGGGGGGGGCTGGGTCCGCCTTGCATGCGTGCCGGCGGCGCTTGGAGGGCTTGGGTGCCAGCCCAGCCTTGACACTGACCCGCCTCTGCTCTTCTGGACAGTTCTACCTCCTGTGCTGGTCCCACGCCACACAGAGATCCCGGCCGAGTTCCCCCCGCTGGACGACTACAGCCATTCCATCCCTGAGAACACTAACTTCCCCGCGGGCATCGAGCCCCAGAGCAATATTCCAGGTAGGCGCGGGGGGCGGGGGGGGGGGCGGGCGTGCAGGCCTCCGGGAGGCCCCGACACCGGTCCCCCCGCGGCTCTCCTGGCCCCCCTCGGGCCCGTCCCCCCTCCGCACACAGCGCTGGCCCGAGGGCCCCTGACTCAGAACCGCACCCCCGTTGGGAGAGGACCCGTGGCCTTGGCTCCCCGCTCACTAATGATGCTTTTCTTGGCACGGAGGAGCGGCGGCGTGACCCTTCCGCCCGGGCTCGGTGCAGTCATTTATTTTGGAAGCGGAAATTGCAGCGCTGTGTTTCTCTCACCGCCCTCGCGGCCGAGGCTGGAGTTTGGGCAGGATCCCCCGACGGTCTGGGGGCCTGCAGAGCCGTGGGGGAGCCAAGGGCCGGGCAGCCAGTGCGGAGAACCGGCCCCTAAGTAAGTAAGCCTGGTTGGGGGGTGGGCTGCAGCCGGGGTGGGAGCTGAGGCCCGCGTGGAGTTTTTCCTGCACGGGGGGAGAAAGTGGGCTCAGCCGTCAGAGTGCAAATGCTTTTAGAAGCCCCTCATTTACATGCAAATAATGTGTGAATCACCAGCAGTGGGGCGTCCAGGAAAACTGCTCGGCGGCACTTGGGCTGGTCCCAGTGGCAGGAATACTGCCGCCTGTCTTTCCGAGAGTGCTCTGATCTGGATGAGCCTCTCACCCTGAGTGAATTCGCCGGTGCTTGAGGTTGACCACAGACCTGTGCGCAGGGGCAGAGCATTCAGAGAGCGCCCTTTACGGACCCAGCCTCTCCAGGCCCTTCACAGGTGGCGCTGGTCCCTGGGGGTAGGTCACTGTGTTCACTGAGCAAACCTTAGAGAGCTAAGTCACCGTCTGGGGTCATTCAGAGAAATAGATCACAGTTATTGCTGTCATTGAACTTGCAGCCCCCTGCGGAAGCCAGGACGTCGCCTAAAGGGATGACAAAGAACAAGGTGTCCGAGCAGGGGTAGATAGCAGAGCCAAAGGGCAGCATGAAGGAGCTGCCCTTGGGAGGACAGAGATGGGCAAGGGTGAGGCAAGTCCACGGCCTCCTTGGAGGGGGGTGGGCTTACACCTGACCTTCCAGGGTGAGGAGCAGTTAGCCTGGCAGAGGCTCTAGGAACGGGCATGTCAGTCTGGGCCGCGTGAACAGAGGTGGTCGCCATCCAGCCGAGGAGCCGGGGGTCGGAGGGCGTGGGGACCACTGGATCCAGGAGCCAGTGCCATTGCTCTGCGGCCCAGAGTTCCTCCAGCACCTGACGCTGGCGTGGACGTGTGATGCGTGCAGCAGGGTCTCCGAGCCAAACTGTGGAGGCCGTTTAATGAACCGCCTTCCTTCTGATTCCCAGAAACCCCACCCCCTGGCTACCTGAGTGAAGATGGAGAGACCAGTGACCACCAGATGAACCACAGCATGGATGCAGGTCAGAGGCTCAATCCTAACCGAGCACCTGCCTTCCCTCTATCCATCCCTCCATCCCATTTATAGAGCAGCCCCCACGTGCCCGGCGCTGTGCCAGGCGCTGGGGATAGAGGAGGAGCCTGAGCTGCTCCCAGTTGGGGAGGGAGACAACTGGCAGTTATATGCCCTGACGGAGGACGCACCCCCCCCATGCCATCGAGCACAAGGGAGGGCCGCCTGGGGAGGAGGTGTTGGGGTGGAGAAGCGCCTCACAGTGTAGGTGTCCCTTGAGTCTTGGAGATGGGTAGGTGTTGGCCAAGCCATCGGGGCAGGCAAAAGGTATGCCAGGCAGAGTCATGGGGCTCGTGGGCAGGACAGCCCGGTGCCTCCTGGGGACGGTGTGGCTGGAGAGTGTGGAGAGGCAGGAAGACCCTCATTCGGGGCTTCCGGTGTGGCCGGGAACCCCCGCGGGCTTTAAGCAGGGTCTGTCCCCCCTGGGGGATGCTGCTGGCAGTCAGCTGGTGGGTGGGCTCGATCCCCCGAGCCCGGTCAGGAGAGCCCGCATGGAGGCAGGGTCTTTGCCGGGGGAGGCCGTGCAGCATCTCTTTGTGTGTAGTGACCAAACGTGATCGATGTATTCCTGCCATGAGGGACCCAGCCCCGTTGTCTCCAGCCCCGTTGTCTCCAGCCCCGTTGTCTCCAGCCCCATCTCCAGATGTTCCCACGTCATTTGTCTTGGGACCAAATGGGCTCCAAACCAGCGGCTGCTTGAATTGAACCCCAGCTGCCACATAGAATGTGCACTCGTTGTGTGTGGTTCGGGGGGAGGAGGAGGAGGAGGGAACCGAGCAGATGTTCCGTCCCGATGAGAGCGGGCATGCCTGGTCCACACGGCGCCCTGCACGAGGCAGAGCCACCCACCCTGGCACGCAGCCCAGAAGAGGGTGTGCGGTTCCTGCAAGAAGCCCGGAGGAGACTTGCCCGTTCACTGTAGACCTAGCTGCTTGATACCCAGCCTGGGCGTCGTGGCACGTGGGGGTGAGCACACACACCTCTCCCCACCCCCCACCCCCCCCCCGCGAGGGGCGGACGGCGCGAACCCAGCTGGAATGCATCGAAGGCCTCCCTGTGTTCGATGCCAAGTGGCCGGGGCAGGCCTGCAACTCTGCAGCTCTGAACGCTGGTGCGGGACGCAGGGCGGCCGAGCAGCATCTCCCCAGATGCTGCCTGGCTTCTCGCTCCTTTCTCTCCCCTCCTTGCTGTTCTTCCTGTTCATGGACCCATTACTGTTGTCAAAGAAAACACACCAAAGGAGAGGGTCCGAGTACTGAATGAGCAGCCAGCCCCCTGTCCCCTTCGGCTCTCGTTTCTCGCTCCCTCCCCGCTCTCCTTTCTGCCCCCATTCTCTCTGTCCCCTCTTCTTTCTTCCTCTCCCCCCATCAGCGCATTTGTGAGGCCCTGTTGGGGCCGTCAGTGATCTGTCAGAGGTGGACATTGGGCTTTAGGGACCCCCCAGCCAGTGGGTGGGTGGGTGGGGTCTCCTGCTTCTCCTCTGTTCTTGACTCAAAATTGTCCACTGGGAAACCAATCGAGTTGCTGTCTTGGCAGCTAAGATGTGATAGTGTCCTAGCTGGGGTCCAGCCCTGTGGCTCCCCTAACGTGCCTACCCCAGATGGGCTGCCACAAAACAGGAAACGAGCATTTATTGAGTGCCTGCTGTGTGCCGGTCATCATGTAGCCATTTGTAGACGCAGGACCCCCCTTCACGTCTACAAATCACACAGTGGAGGGTATTATCCCATTTACACCTAAAGGGGGGAAAGATATCAAGGCTCAAAGAGGTTAAACCACTTTGCTAAAACCCCACAGCTGATACATTGGGAGCATGCCTGGACTCCGGGGCCAATTTGGAAGCTCTGCCTCTTCCAAGACTCTTCCATATCCCCTGATGGATTGGGTTCAGGAGGAGGAAAAGAAGCCCATGGCTCATCCCTCCCCCTCAAGGAGGTTACAGCTGAGTTGGGGAGCAGGAACAGACCGCCCTTAACAGCTCAGGGCACCTGTGTGGGCAGACTGGCGGGTCAGGGGAGAGCGCCCCCCACGGGGCTGTTCCTGAGTCACTGACCCGCCAGGCCTCTGGGTGCGGGATGGAGGGATGAGCCAAGTTGCTCTGTGGAGAGGCGCCGCTTGGTATTTCTGAAGGCTGATGCCAGGTGGTTTTCTCTTTTCTGGGAGCGAGGGGTGGAGAGAAGTAGCAGGGCAGGAAGCTTTGGGTAGGTTTGGACATTTTCCCACGGCAGTGTCATGCCTCACGTCAGATGTCGGTCTGGTTGCAGAGTTGTGGGATTCCTGAGGCAGCTTGCTGAGTTTCCTGAGACCTGGGGAAGGGGCTAGATTTGGGATGGGCAGGAGGGCGCAGCTTCGCTGCTGGGGCCTTTGAGCAAGACTGGGGAGCGAGCCTTCCCTGCCTGTCTCGTTTTCCTGGGGGCATAACTGCCAGGGAGGTCTGTGCCCTGTGCTGCGGGCTTGGTCAGGACCCTCACGCCATCAAGTCCTGGGAGAGACCTCTGAGGTTATCCGATTATCCGTTTGTGCCACAGGTAAAGATGGAGACCCAGGGATGGAAAGTCGAGCAAGGACCACGGGGTCAGGGCTCCTCCTGGGCCTTGGAGGCTCACCCCAGGGTTATCTTCCTGCTCCATTGAGCTGCCCCATCTTGATGTAGGCGTTCAGGAATTTGGCTCTCCAAGCCAAGAATGTTCTATTAGTTCTTACGATTGTGTCTCACCTCGCAGGTTCTCCAAACCTATCCCCGAATCCGATGTCCCCAGCACACAATAATTTGGGTAAGTAGCTCCTCATCCATGGGACTGTCACCCCCTCTAGCTGCAGCCTTGGCTGGTGGCCGGTGTGGGGAGGGGGCCCTGACAGCGAGGCTCTCCCTGCACCCCCCCTCCATCAGCTGAGCTCAGCCCATCAGGTTTCTGGTTACAGTGATTTTGGGGTCACCCACAGAACAGGGTAACCTAAGAGCAGAGGTGGCAGGAAAAAGACGACCATGTGCCGGGTTTGTGTTTCCTCTGGGTGGCAGTCAGACGTGAGTGAATGAAAATCCCCCAAACCTTGTGCTCAGGAGCCGAGAAGCTGTGGTCAGCCAAGCATCCGTGTGTGGTTTGATGCAAAGCCACGGACAGCAGTGCGGACTCCAGCCCCCTGACTTCTGTTGACTGGTTTCAAGAGACACTTTGGATTTTATCTGAGTATTTCATCTTAAAATTACGTACTTTTTAATTTTATTTATTTTTTTAAAGCTTAGTTTTTAAAAGATTTTATTTCTTTGTCAGAGAGACAGAATGAGAGAGAAAGAGAGCACAAGCAGGGGGAGGGACAGAGCGAGAAGCAGGCTTCGCACTGAGCAGGGAGCCCGATGCGGGGCTCGATCCCAGGACTCTGGGATCGTGACCTGAGCCGAAGGCAGATCCTTACCTGGCTTAGCCACCCAGGCATCCCATGTACCTTTTCTTTGACACAGCAAGATACAAGGAAATCGGGGGGAAAAGCGCAATTGCCATCATCCCCCCACCCTCCCACGCTGGTTTTGTTTTGTTATGGTCCTTCTGATGCTTGTGGATTCGGCCTGTGTATTTTTGTCTGGCCAGTGCCCATCACAGTGTCCATTTTTTTTTCCATTCTTTTTGCTATTTTGTAAACGCATTTCTGTGTTTAGATGCCTCCTCTATCATCTTGCCTTGTCTCGTGATGTGTTGGAGCAACTGGACCATCATTTCTGTGGCTTCTGGGCTCCAGGAGCGCCCCTCAGCTCCGGCGTGGAGCCTGCTGAAGGGCTCAGGACAAATGAAACATCCACTCTGTTTTTATTGAGGGGATTTTTTTTTTTTTTTTTAATGTGTTGGTCTGGTGGTTTTGGGAAAATGTGAGTTTGATTTCCATTTGGGCCTTGACTGCTGGGGTTTGATTTGTGGCTCAGGAAGAGAAAGACTTAATATCCAAGTTCGGTGAATCAGGGGATGGAGGTTGGTCTGGCTTTTATTCCAGTTGCTTCCAGTCCTTGACTGATAGCACAGGATGAAGAAAAGCATTTAGAACATCGGGAGATGCCTGAAACCCCTTTCATACAGGCTGACAAGTGGGCAGTGTGAAATGTGACTTTGGGTGAATCTGTTCTAACATCTTTGTAAAATAATATCACTGTGGGTGTTGGGCTTTGCAGAGGGAAGGTCACATTCCTGATGTGAAAGGACCGATTGAGTTATTAAAAACAAACTCTGAAGGCTAGAAGCTGTGTTAACACTTGAGAAATGAAAGGCCAGGACTGTGAACTCGTCTCTGGGTTTCCAGCTTTCAAGGTTAGCTGGTTTGAATTTCATTTGGGGGCCGTTTTACTCCCCCCGCCCCTTGGCCAAGGCAGCCCAGTGAGTGCACAGACTCCGGGGCAGGCCCCTGCCTTGGAAGCCATGCTGCCTGACTCAGTGGTTCGGAATGAAAGTTGTCCCAGGTGGCAGCTTGCTGGGAATTCCCTTCTAGATTGTGTGGACCAGGACAACAGCATGGCTTTTGAACTTGGACCTGGGGCAGGGGTGTTCCATTGACTCAGTTCTCCCTCCCTGCTGCCCCATTCCTCAGGCCCCTTGTCTGAGGGCTGAGAATGCTTAGATCATTTCTCCAAAGGAAGGAATAGCTCCTGAGCCTGGGGGGCGGAGAGTGGGTGCCAGTCTGTGGCAACACCTGAATGGGGGGGGGACGAGTCAGCTGATGAGTCGGGCGGGACTCGCGGTGAGACATCAGGGCTTCCTCTCTGCTTGCGGGGCCCCTGCACCCCCCTCCACCTTCACCCCTTCAACACTGTTGGCTTCATCCCTACCCAGAAAATCTCAGACTCCTGGCATCCTCGCTGGAAGGGGATGGACGGTGGTGATGAGGATGGCAAACATTTCTTGACAACTTAGTGCTGTTCGGAGCGCTTCGTGCGTGTTAACCCAGGGTTCATAACCGCTGCGTAAGGTGGTGGTGGTATGATTTTCCACCTTCCTAATTAGGAGGCCAAGGAGCAGGCTGGTCACCTCACTCCTGCCAAGGAGCGCCATCAGTACATGGAGAAGCTTTGAACTCAGGCCTTCGGGTTCCAGAGCATGTGCTTATGTCTGCAGCAGGACATTGTCTTACTGCGTCACGTAGACCAGCATCCCCGTCACCACCAGCTCCTCGGAACAAAGCTCTAGAAGGGTACTTACTGTCGTTGAGGGCCGTTCTCCGGTTGAAGAGCCTGGGTGGGAGCCCTGCCCGCCAGCTTGTCTCTTCCTTCCTCGCTGATGCCCCAGGACCTTCCTGCCAGTCCAGGTGGGGGGGTTCAAGGAGGAATCACAGACCCCGCCATCAAGATGCTATGGCTTGTGGGGGATCAATAAGGCAGGAGTAAACGTGATTACAAAACACGAGGTAGGTGCACTTGAAGTAGCCGGAGGGTCCAGAGGGGGCAATGGTGACATCCCAGTGGGGACCTGCCTCCAGGCTGGCCGGTGTCCCTATGGAACTCATTCAGTCAGTCAGCTCTGCTGTGTTCCTAGTATGTACTGACGCTGGGGGTCCACATGGGCATTCACGGTCTGATGGGAGTGGCGGGAGGGGTCTGTGTCCCGCCCCCCCCCCCCCCCCCCCCCCCGCCGTGAGGCATTATGCTAGGTGTCAAGGGGAATTATAGAGGCCAAGGAGGAAAGTGCCAGATCAGGCAGGAAGACCTCAGAGTCATGGTGACAGGTGTGAGTTGGCCCCAGAAGGACAGGTGGGACACTGGGAGGTGGAGAAGGAGGGAAGGACACCGCAGGTAGAGGGAAGGGCATGAAGGGAGAGTGAGCTCAGAGGACAGCCGCTGTTGTGGTTGGTTGGGATGAGGGGGCAGATGAGGCTGACAAGGCTGTGGGGCACTGAGCCAAGAGCCCTGAATGCCACACTCTGTGATTCCCTTCTTGCCTGTGAATGAGGTCACCGGAGGAAGGGTGTTTGGTTGGTTCTCTGATGACAGCTTCATAAAGATTAACCTGGCCACTATATAGAAGTTGAAGTCTAGGGGAAATGGCTGGTGGCCAAACCCCAGCCCCCCCAAATTTCAAAAGAAAAACCCACCCTTAGAAAGCTGTTAAACTGCAGGAGACCAAGATGAATGCTTTGGAGCTATGCTGGGAGGGGCATTGAGAGAGGGCCACGGGCCTGAATCAGCAGGCGCTTATTGACCAGCTTTAACTGGGAAGATGGTGAGGTAGGACGTCCAGAAGCTGGGATGGCTCGGGTGGGAAGGTGGCAATGAGTTGCCGATGCCTAACTGTGTCCAGGAGGGACACCGGGGCCGGCCGTGCCGAACTGGAAGCCGTTAGCCTGTGGGCAGCCTTTCCCCAAGTGGGGTCAGGGAGGCAGGGTTTTGTCATCGCCTGAGTTTGGAAAGCTTGTGCCGTAGCCCCCTGGGCACCCAGGGCACTCACGTGGTAAGGCCTCAGAGCAGTCCTGTAGAAGGGAGGCCCACGGGATTGAGCATTTGGCCTACGGATCTGAGCGCCGCTGAAACACTTTGCTCTTACAACCTGTCGACCGTCTGTAGGATCACACCCTGGAAATGCTGAAGTCCTGGGAGTGGATGAATTGGGAGAGGGAAACCCAGCTGGAGAAGGGAGAAGGAAAGAAGTCCAGAGAGGGACTGAGGGGGCCCCCCTGGGAAGGAGGAGGTTGGGGAAGAGACCAAGGGTCAAGGGAGGGCTGGGCCCCAGCAGCCAGAGGGGGTGGGAGGCCAGTGCGCAGGTGGAACGAGAGGCTCTGAGGTGACGTCGGGAGTTCAGGGGCACCCTCGGAGCACTTGCGGGGAGAGGTGGGGGCTGAGGTCAGGCAGTGGTATGGGCAGGGCAAATAAAAGGCAAGATGACGGCAGAGGAGGATGGGGACATCTCAGGACATCGGATTATTTCCTGCAAAGAAATTATGCGGGAAGAGAGAAAACAGAGGACCTCTGGCTCGCTCCTCATTTCCTTCCCCCTCCAGGCAAGGGACTGGGGCTCCTGCCACTTATGGGGCGGGGCCCAGATGAGTGACTGCCTGCCAGCTCAGCCCCTTGTCAGAGGGGGAGCCCCGGCAGCTCTGTCTTCCTTTTGGGGAAAGGGGTGTGAGCAGGTGACGTGCCTGCTAGATGAGTCACCTGGGCTTTCCTAAGCATTGAAGTCAAGGATTGGGCCAAATGGAGGGGAAGGAGGAGGGAAGTGGAAAAAGGAAAAGGATAAGGAGCTGGCTCTGCCAGTGAGTAAGTTGTTCTTGCTTTGGGGCGGGGCCTTGACCGAGGGAGAAGAGGTACCAGGGAGTGCTTGCAGTTGGATGAGGTGCTTCCGCTCCTGCTGGGAACGGGGGGGGGGGGGGGGGGGGAAGTTGGGGGCAGCGGGGAGACACTGCTTCTCCCCTGAAAGAGGCGGGGCTCCAGGGTGCAGCCCTGCCTGGTTGCAGCGGTCCTCGTGTTGCTGCACAAAGCTCTTGCTAGGGCCTCCTCGGGCTCTGCTCTCCGTGAGCTTCAGAAATTACAGGCGCCCCCCCCCCGCCGCCCCCGACGCCAGCAAGGCAGTCGCCAGCCTGAGGGTCTCCCTTAGACTGTGCATCTGGTCTCAGCTGCAGCAAGCTGCCCCCAGGCTGAAAGAGCGCGGGCTGCTTTCCCTGCACACCTTGTTTTGTCGTTGTCCTCAGTGAGATAGGTTGGAACTGGGGCCCTGGGTGCGACGACTCCGCCGTCCCGGGCCCACAGAAACTAACCCTTGAGGACAGCAGGGGCTCAAAAGGAAAGAGCTGTGAGGGACAGTTTCACAGCCGTGACCTGGGGTCGGTGGGGGGGGGGGGACTGGCAGCGGGGACCGTGGGGGTCCCTGGGGACTGGAGTGTGGTGTCTCCGGGACGGGAGGTCACGCTGCCTGCCACAGGTGAGGTGGGCCCAGGTGAAGGCAGTTCATTCACATCCTGACCTTCAGCCTTTGCAACTTCAATGTTTTGCCCACCCCCCGCTTTTGATTCATAGTAGAAAGTTGATTTCCCCCTTCTGTCCCCCCTCCTTTTCCTTTACCGGATTTGGATCTCTTACACATGTTTTTAATAGGCATCCCTTAATCCAAGTGTTGCCTTCTGGGTTTTATTCTGTTTTCTTTTCCTTAAACAAAACAGAAAGTCTACGCCAGCTTGGAATAGGGCTCGAAACCCAAGCCAGCCAGCACCGTTAGGCTGGCAGGGGGCCAGCCGTGAATTAAGTGCCCCCCCGCCACTCGAGAAGCCTGGCCGATACCACGCTGGTGGGGGCAGGGGGCGGAGGGCAGCGCGAGCTGGAGGTTCCTGCGTCTCCAACACCTCTACTCTGGGAAGGGCGATTAGCACAGACTCAGCAGTCTAGCCGGGAGCAGGGCAGTGTGCAGGGGGCGGCCTTGGGCACGTGCCATTGTCTAGCCTGCCGGGTGTGCCGAGTCTTTGGCCTGAAGAAGCAAAACCACTGTCAGGGAGTCAAGTGCCCTTAGCCCTGTAGAGTCGTCCTCCCAGAGGAGCCTCTGAGTGGCATGTCTTCAGGTCCTTTTCAAGAAGCAACCTTATGCAAAATGGCCTCTTCGTTTGTTGGAAGACTCTTGGAATTCAGGCTGGCTGGCCTGACGGATGTGGGAGGAGAGGTTGCCACCTGATTCCTTAAAAGATTTCTTTTGAGACTTAGGGCCAGGACAAGCTTTGTTCCCCTGCAGAACTTGTAAGCATTATCTGTTCACAACCAGAGCCATGTAGCATAAGATGCTCCCTTTTTGCCTTGTCTGCTAGGAAGCTCAGAGCCAAGCTGAGTGCTCTGTCAGTAGCTATAGCCCATGGTTATCCTGTTTATAATGTTCTCCTTTCCCGAGTCCTGACTGTTTCTCTTGTACTTAACCATGGTGTGGATAAGTCTTTGGGGTGGGAAAAAAAATGAGGACATACATGCTGTTTAAAAAATAGGTTGCCATTTAAGGCAGAACCCAGAGGTGGTGACCATACATTTTGGTCTGCAGCACCCCCTTGCAGAAGTTCCTTGAGGAAGCAGCTGAGAGGTGCCAGGAGGGACAGAGGTGAAAGGCAGGACTTTTAGTTGTTTGTGGAGACTTGTGAATACGTGGCTGGGGGCACTGCTCCGGGTCAGTCCTGCTTCTGAACACAGGCCAGCTCATCCGTACCCTTCAGACTTTGCCTTGGCCTGACTGCACTGCTCTCCCCCCAACTCCCCAAACTAGCATCTCCTTAATTATGTGTCAGGCTTCCGAGTCCAGCGTTTTCCACCACACTGTCCAGTGTGTATCTGTAAGTTGCAGGGATGTTTGGATAAGGGCTCAGATCTGCTTGGGGGGCCTCTTGGGTTAGGACCCCAAGCCTGTCTCTGATTCTGAGATGCCTCAAAGCCCACATTTCCCCTGAGTGGTTCTGGCACCGTGTTACCCGATGGGTGGCCTGTGGCTTTTCTTCCTTTGATGGGTAGGCTGTGCCAGGGTTCCTGGGAGCCAAGCGCTCTCTCTCCTGTCTGGACTAAGCCCAGGGGGTGCTGGAAGGCTTTGTAATTTGGGGTGAGGACTCTGTTCTGTACTTTACCAGGGAAGCCAGGGCCAGCGCAGATCAGCCCTAGCTGCCTCTCCAGGCTGACCCACGCCAGCTGCACAGTGACCTGGATGGTCTGCGCTAGATGTGTCCCAGGAAAACTACAGTCACTCTCCAGGCCAGGAAGGCTCACACAGCAAGGCCAGCAGAACCTGCCCCTGGGCGCTGGTGCTCCGCAGCCCCTGCTCAGCACCTCTGGCCTCAGACACGTTGCCTGACCCCTTTGAGTGCTTGGATTATACTTGGATTTCTTGGGCTTTTTTTTTTAAGGTCTCCAAAGCAACATAGCTCACATTTTAGTGACCACATTGTTTAGAATATAGCTTATCTCATTGGAATGTCGAAGCATCGAGTGACGCCAGAGCTGGATGTGGCCCGTGTGGCTCAACCCAACCTCCGGGACACAGGCCACAAGCCCTGGTCGCCCCTGCCCCGTCACTCCTCCCTCCCCCATTAAAAGTAGCTTCGATCCCCTGCCTTCCCTCATCTTCCCCTCCCTCTCCCCTGGGAAGAGAGGAAAGGGCGCTTTGCCTCCCCTGCAGCGGAGGCCAGGACAGGAGCAGGACGTACTCAGGTTCACGTACATCATCAGTTCTAATCGTCAGCACCACGTAGCGAGTGCTTGAGGCGTGCCCCGCACTTCGTGGTTCCTCCCGGTCCATCCGCAGATAGCGGCCGAGGTAAAGAGGGCTCCCCGCCCCGTGGCTGCCGGGAGCCATGTGGAGGCTGAAGCTCCGAGCTGCCCTGGTTTGCTCACAGTCGCGCAGCTGGTCCGTGCCCCAGCGCCGAGTGCCTTCCAGGCCGCCTGGCGTTGAAGCTTGCACTCCATGACTTGGCTGACCCTCGAAGGCAGTGGTTTTCACCCAGGGGCTCTTCTGCTCCCTCAAAGATAGCCGGCACTGTCTGGGGCCATGTGTCCCTGTCCCGGCTTGGGCGGGAGAGACGGATGTGTGCCACTGAGAATTTCTTTTCGGTGACTTGGCATCTTAGCCACCTGGACAGACAGCATGTGGAGACATTTGGAAGATAGTTTCTCTAGTAAGAGCCGTGGACCTGGTTCACTCTGTGGGCCGAGCCTGTGTGGTCGGAGGCCCAGCGCCCTGTGCAGGCCCCTGGGCTGCGCCAGCCTTGTCATTTTACAGGCTCCGTCGCTGCCGCTCCACAGGCTAGGAGGGCCCGAGACCAGGCAGAGCCGAAAGCTGAAAGCCCTTTGGGAGGCCGAGATCACCATGGGACTCCGGGGGGTGGCCGCGTGGGTGGCATGGCGCCCCCGGGGAACCTGCCAGGCCTGTCCAGCGGGCTTGCCCAGGTGCTGGGTGGTGCCTGGCCCTCCTTGAAGACCGCTCCAACCCAAGGCCAGCCAGACAGACAGGGCCTCTGTGAGCTAAGACTAAATGAAAGCGGCCAGGCTAGTGGAAGGCTTTTCCAAACACTAGAGCATTGGATCCTGCAAGTTTAATGCAAGGCACGAGCTTCGGGGATCATAACCCTCGGAGGGGTACAGAAACAGCCTTACGGAGCATCCAGGGGAGCTCGCTGAGCAGCAGGCGACCTGGGGGCCCTTGACCCAGTAGCCTGGCCTGTCTCCCCAGACCTGCAGCCTGTCACCTACTGCGAGCCGGCCTTCTGGTGCTCCATCTCCTACTATGAGCTGAACCAGCGCGTTGGGGAGACATTCCACGCCTCGCAGCCCTCCATGACAGTGGATGGCTTCACCGACCCCTCCAACTCGGAGCGCTTCTGCCTGGGGCTGCTCTCCAACGTCAACAGGAACGCAGCCGTGGAGCTCACGCGGAGGCACATCGGTAAGGGCGCCCCGTCTCCCCATCCACCCCTCCTGCCCCTGCCCAGCAGCCCCAGCAGCCTCTGCCCAGAACCGACCTGCCCCTGCTGTGCCGCACCTCCTGGGACCTGGGGAGAGGACCCACTCCCCCAGCCAGCCCCCAAACTCTGTATTGCCCCCTTTAGGGGCCAGACCAGAAGAGTTCACATTGCTTGGTCATTCCCATTCAGAAACACAGATTAAGTCTGAAGAGGGGAAAGCCATGGAGGAAAACACTCAACTTGAGGGGACAAGAATGGCAAATCTATGAAAAGGGCAACATATGTATCTTAATAAACATACCCCTAAAGTACTGATAGGGGATAGGTAGGCGGTGTCCGTTTTTAACGAACGATCTTTTATTTGTTAATTTCATATACAACTATTCTAGGCTGCCAGACCAGCCCTGGTGCTAACATTCTGCCTTCTAACATCCAGAACGTAGTAGGAGACCACTTGGCTTAGGGAAGAAGGAGCTGTGTGTGTGTCACTTGGATATTCATAATTTTGAGATCCTGAGTCCATCAGAAGGCCATCTCCACACTTGGAGACGGTGTAATAGGGTCCTGTCAGCCCAGAGCCCCCGGGGGTTGGCTCCAGGGCAAACTCCGGAGCTGGGCAGGACAGCAGGGGGTCTGGTCCTAAGTGAACCAGAGCACCCTTGATCTTGTTCTTACTATATCTTGGATTTTCATGGACGATTTCATTTGAGGAGAGGATTTTATGGTTAAGAGAAGAAAAGTTTGGAAGCCATGGGTCTGGGCCTGGGTGCTCGTTCTCCAGGGAATAACCTGCTGCCCAGGGGACAGCAGAGCCTTGCAGAGGCCACACCATGTGACCTAGTTGGTGACAAACAGCCCCCTGCCACTGAGCCTGCAGCCTTCCCAGACAGCCTCCCCATTTGTTTTACTTTAAAAAAGATACTGATCCTGGGTGGCATCCATAGGTGTTTACCTATTCTCCTTATGCTCCTTTACATTTTAAAAATAGTTCCCAAATTACCAAAACAAAACACATTTTTGTTCTTTCCGTTGGGGTCTTCCCGCCTCTGCCTCTGCTCTTGACGGACATAACCCAGCGGCCCCTCCTTGTGGACCCCAAGTCTGCCCGTACCCCGCATGTCTGTGACACTGGGTCTTGTAGCACCCCCCAAGGAGAAAGGGGCACTGGGGCCATGGCGGGTTGAGGAGGCAGAATTCCCAGAGACCCCCTGGTTTCTACCCCGCTGGACGCCGTGCCTGTAGAATCTGGCTCCGTCCTCCAGCCCTCGGAGCCTCTTCCCCAGAAGGCAACAGAGGCCTTCCTGTGCAGGAGAAGAGAACCTCCCCGGCCGAGAGCAGAACTCATCGTCAGAGTGTTTACGTAACTGCTTGCTCGGACCGCAGAGCCAATTAAAAATAATTTCTGTCCATGTGGAATAGATTTTTAAGAGATGGAGGAAAAGTGAATGACATAAACCTGTGGAATGTTGTAGAAAAATGCACGGGGGAGAGAACGTACGGGGGTGGCATGAAGCCATCGCTGTCCTCAAGGGCTCCTGGGAGTCTGCTCAGGAGGAGCTCTGCGGGTCTGCTGCGTGTCCATGGCAGTGGCCGCGGTAGCCGCTCACGCTTGGCGGGCGCTCGCCGTGTGCGCCTCAGCCACCCTGTGAGGCGCGTGTTACCATCGCCCCATCTCCCAGGCGGAGAAACTGAGGCTCAGGGGCTGAGTAACTTGATGCTGGCCGACGGCTCGTCCGCGGCGGAGGCTGTTAGGCAGACTTACCCCGTGCCCCTTCGCCTCGTCATCCGCCACCTCCAGCGTCAGGGACCCAGTGCCGCCCCCACGTCCCCTGTGCGGGTTTAAGCTTGGGCCCTGGGTCCCGCTGGCCTGGTGAGACGCAGAGCAGCAGCCCGTCGGAGCCCGGCTGCAGCTGTCCCCCTCGCGAGCCTCCGCTGGTCCCGCCGGGCCAGTCTGACCCACATCTCCCTAGGGCGCGGCGTGCGGCTGTACTACATCGGAGGGGAGGTCTTCGCAGAGTGCCTCAGCGACAGCGCCATCTTTGTGCAGTCTCCCAACTGTAACCAGCGCTACGGCTGGCACCCGGCCACTGTCTGCAAGATCCCCCCAGGTACGCGCCTGGGCCGCCGGGCGGGTTCTCCTTCCTCTTCTGCTCCTCCGTGCTGCCACCGGCGGCCTGGCGGTGCCTCGCTCGGGTCTTTTCCGCGTCTGCCTGCCCTGCTGCGCTCTCCTTGACCCTGCGGGGGGCAGCGGCAGCCTCCGGCGGGCCTGCCTCTGATCCGTGCGTCCCTGCTCGTTGCCTTGGGCACACAGGGGCTCAGGCGCTGTGCTTTCCCCCTTCGCTCCACGAACTCGCACGGCATGTGGGCGCCGCGCCAGGTGCTTGAGGGAGACGGAGGGCTCCGGGAGGCCCTGCTGCTGTCCCCACAGGCCTTGCAGGCCAGCTGAGGGCACAAGACAAAGACACGAATGGGTTTAATACAAGGAAGGGTACTAAGTACCAGGCAAGCAGCACGGATAAGGTGCTCTCGGAGCCAGGGAGCAAAACTCATTGAACCCTTGGGATGGATCAGGGAAGGCTCCATGGAGGAGGCACGCAGGCATTGCAGGCTGGTCGGCATTCGACACAGGGTGACCGGCGGGGGCGCGTGGGACCTTGAAGGGCATTCCAAGCAGAGGGAACAATACGGGCCAGAGCCCGGAGGTGACGGAGGGTAGGGCACATACGGTGGCACTGGCTGGAGATGCCGTGTAAGAGACAGGAAATGTTTAGAAAGCATGATGGGGCCAGGCCACAGGAGGCCGTGAGAAAGTTGTGCTTTCACTCTGGGGAGCTCTTGCGGGTTTTCTGAGTGGAGCTGATGAATCCCACCCGTGCTCCAAGAAAGGCTGTCTGGCTGCACCCCAGAGGGTGGCGTGGAGAGGGCCACGGCCATGCAGCAACACGGGCAGAGACGGGCCCCGTCCGGGCCTCTGGACTTACAAAACCAAGGCCCAGAGCCCCGGCCGAGCCCGCTTGGCCCCGGCACGCAGCGCCAGGCCGTGCTGCTGGCCGAGCGCGGGCTGGGACCGGCGGGTACTGTGCGCGGCACGCGTTTCCTCGTCTCAGTAGCAGATGCTCTAGCGGAGCCGTGGGCTCTGGGCAGGGCCAGCCTAGGAAGGCAGAAGGTCTGAATGAACAGCGCTCTCGGTTTCCTGCGCATTGTGTGGTCGCGTTTACAGAAGACATCAATAGCTTTGCTCTCACTTAGCCCTCTCCAATTATCCTGGCTCCTCAGGCGAGGAGACGAGTTCAGAGAGGTTGAGCCACCTGCCCCAAGGCACACAGCTGGGCAGTGGCTGAGCCGGGATGAGCCACGGGGCCGTGTGGCCCCCGAGTCTAGTGCTCCTGCGCTTCTTGCTGCCCCAGGGTCACCACACTTCCCTTGGAGAAGATGAGAACCCGAAGCCCGGTTGTGTTCCTGGCATTGTGACCACTCCCGTCCCCAGCCCTTCCCCCACCTTTTTGGTGAGGGGGCCGTGGTGGGGTTTGTTAGCTCATAGACCATCAGAGCTGGGAGGACCTCAGAGGCCGGGCTTCCAAAGAGAAAGTGACCAGCCCAGAGTCACACGGCAAGATTAGGAGTCCAGTGTTGGCCCGTTAATAAACGTCGCCTTAGCTCACCTTCTGGGTATTCCCAGCATGTGCTGTTGTCTTTCTTTTTCTGACTGACACATTCCTGGCACCCGGGCGGTAGGACTTCAGGAAGATTTATTATAAACTTTATTTGGGCCTGTCTCTGGTTTTACTGCCTGGAGAGTTAGACACACGTCTTCACTTTGCTGCAAATGTCACCCTGACCCAGCCCTGTGCCCAAAGGCCAAAATGTGGCCCCAGTCTCGTGCTCCTTCCTGGTCCCAGGTGGCTTCACCAGGGAAGCCTGGGTGGAAGGTACCCTGGGACCCTCTGCCGAGCGTCCTGTTGGAGCGACAGGCTGAGGAAGGAGCCCTTCCTCTGGCCTGCTTCCCCTCCGTCTGATGTCAAGGGCTCCTGCTCCCCAGGCGGTCAGCCATGCCTCCCACAGCCGTGGGCATTCTGGCTTGGGCACCTTCTCTCTCTGGTCCCTGGAGTCCTGCCTTGGCCCTCTTGCCCAGGGCAAGGCCCAGCTCTCCAAACCATCTCTCTTGTTGTTGGTAGCCTACTTTAGAGTCTTCCTCTGAGTTCCCTGGCTCCAGGAGCTGGAGCTTACAGGCCAGTGTTGAATCCACCCGTGTGTGTCAGCCACACCTCTCCATTGAGGTGAGGATGGCTTAGGGCAGGGACCGAGGGGGCCTGTCCCTAGCGTGGTGCTGAGTGTCGAGTGTGGGGCTAGTGCACGGAAAACTGTGTGCCACTTGAGCCCGGTGAGGTATGCCATTCTGGATGACCCAGGGGTGGCTTCAGCCAGGAGTGGGGCACTGGACACGTATGCCTCTGTCCCCACGAGTGCTGTTTTTGTTCTCTTGGCAGGGTGCAACCTGAAGATCTTCAACAACCAGGAGTTTGCCGCCCTCCTGGCTCAGTCCGTCAACCAGGGCTTCGAGGCGGTCTACCAGTTGACGCGGATGTGTACCATCCGCATGAGCTTCGTCAAAGGCTGGGGAGCAGAATACAGGTCAGGTCTGGGTGCCACATATCATGGGGACCTGAGTGCACATGACTCAAACAGCAGAGCAGGGGCCCCTCAGAGATGAGCTAGGCCACCCTCGCCCCAAAGAGCAGAGGCCAAGGATCAGTGGCCGTGGCCTGGCAGGCCGGGAGGGCCCGAGCCACACTGGATAAGGAAGAGCCAGGCACTTTGGTTTCTCAAACACCATAAACACACATGTTCTAGTTCTTCCTCACCACCACCCTGGGCGGGGACGCTGGCATCACCCCCGGTGCATGGATGAGGGGACCAAGGCCCAGGGAGGGAAAGTGACTTGCCTGAAGTCACATCGTTAGCGGAAAAGCTGAGCCTAGAACTGTGCCTCTTGGCTGCTTCCTCGTTGTTCATTTTGGGCAGATGGTTTTAGGACGACCCTCTCCAGGGAGTTGTCTTCATCCTGTTCTTCCCTCCTCTGGGGCTCCGCCCCTGGGTGACCCTGAGGCTCTCCGGTATTAAAATTGAGAGGCGGATGGGAGAAGATTTGGGAAGTCATAAAGGAACAGTTTACTTGCTAAGAAAGCGTTTTTTCAGAATTTCAGATATTGGTTTAAACATGGCACTGGTCGGGTCTACCTGGTCAGTGCTGTCGAATCTCTCAGAACATTCTGGTTTGGGTTTAGCGAATCTGGTCCCTTTTCTTTCCACACCTAGACAGGATGTGTGCAAGGGCCAGGGCCATGTCCCCCTCCTGCCTCCGGCTTCCGCGCCAGACGCAGAGGTGCCCACATGTCAGCTGGGGCCAGCGCTTTGCAAGTGACTCCCCGCTTCTCTTCATTTTTCCAGATGTTTGGAATCCATTTTGTTTTGTAGTCATTCTGCACCCAGGCCAAACCCATTTCAATATTGGCTCTGGGCCACCGTTTGTAATGAAATCCAGATGAGCATGACTTATGGAAAGTCAGATTCTCATTAGAGTATTTCGGCCCGTAAAGTCCTCTTCTCTTTACGGTATTTTAGCTGCTCTGCCCTGTGTCTGCCCCACAGGACCAGGGAACACAGCACCTTGGTCTGTGGGGGTCTCTCTGAAATCCAGGATGAGTGACCAACTGAGAACTTACAGCCCAGTTATGATGGCCTGAGGCGATGAGCCCAGGCCCAAAGGCCCAGCCCGAGAGAGATTTTAGCCCACCTTTTGGCCCTGGCTGAAACCAGTTACGGGTCCAGAGTAAAATGTTTTAAAATTAGTATTTTTCTTTTAGTGGGGAAGGGAAATACTTAGATGGACCCCATTGGAAAAGAGCCAGAGAGAGGTCCTTTTGCTTTTTCCTACACCCAGACTTCAGTCCAGAGGACTGCACTCAGGCACCACGGGTCAGAGAGGCACCCCGGGGTCCACGAGGCCATCTAGAAACCTCCACCTGGGCCCAGCGTAGGCCAAGCAAGGCGGGCAGTGGTCTTGAGTGAGCAGCCCTCAAGCTGGCACAGCACCGTGGCCCTCCAGCTCCGAGTGCTGGGAAGAAGCCCCTCGGTGGCGGAAGCCTTTCCCTGGGGGCCCTGTGTCACCACTCGGGACATGCTGCCAACACGCTGGGTCCTGGGCGGCCCACCACGTCCCTGCCACCTGGCAGCCCCACAGAGCAGCCTAACGGGCGGGTGCGGCCCCTTCCCAGAACAGTCTTGCCCTCCTTCTGCCTCTGTGCCAGAGAGAGTAAGGTTTCGTCCCTCCTGTGAGATGGCCAAAAGCGGCGAGGGCCCCGGGCGCAGGCCTCCCGCCTCCAGCCTGTACCAGCGCCCCCGGCCGGGGCAGATAGTCTTTGCTCACTGCAGGCCGTTGGGAGCTCGCCTGCGGGCTGCGTCATCAGCCAGCCAGTGCTTTGGGGAAAAGAAACGTGTGGTGTGCCTTGGTTTTTTCCAGTAATTGTTCCATGGCTCGCTCTGCTCGTAAGATTTTCCAAAATAAGGCCATAGATGGGAATTATATCAGCACATTGGGAACTGATGGCATGTGGATTCTGTCGGCGCTTTGCAAACAACACCCTCCATCAGACAGACACACGTCATCATGGCCTGCCGGGACTGGGCCTGGGGCTGGAGATGCGGCTGCCCATTCACGGCAGATGGGACCCTGGGAGACCTTTGCTCAGGCTGGAAGTTCTTCACTGGGGGGGCCTGTCCCAGAAACAGGTGGGCAAGTGGGATACCCTGGAATTTGCCTCACATGTTTAGCCCTTGAAGGGCTATCTCCTTCCCCATGAGGAGAACCTGACTTACTCAAGGCTCTTCCTAGTTGGAGGAGTTTGGCCTGGCAGTCTCAGCCATTTATTGGGACCTCCTCTAGAGCTGGGTCTAGCAAGGCGCCACGGACCTATCTCTGGCTCTGGGAAGAAGACTTTCACCAAAGCAGGAAAAGATATTCTGACTTGTAGGTGTGTCCTTCTGGACATTTTTGAAGTCTCCCACCCCACCCCTCTCCCTGTATCTTGCAGGAGACAGACTGTGACCAGCACCCCCTGCTGGATCGAGCTGCACCTAAATGGGCCTTTGCAGTGGCTTGACAAGGTCCTCACCCAGATGGGCTCCCCAAGCATCCGCTGTTCCAGTGTGTCTTAGAGACGTTGGGTGTGAAGGGGGAGGGTGGGGGGAGGGCGGGCTTGGGGGGAAAAGGCCGCGTAAGAGGTGGAGAAAATTGGAACTCAACTCACCATTGTCAACGAAGAAGAAATTTTTCTCCCTCCAATCAAAGCGGCCCCAACCTGTTTTCCAAAACGCAAAAGCAAATCCAGAGATGGATTTTCTGAACAGCTGTGTCTGCCGAACCCATTTGCCCTTTGGCCCCCACCTGCCCCCTCCTCCCAGCCCCCTTCTCTTTTAATGACAGCAGTCTGGGATGTCACTGTCCAACAGGAAATGGCCATCGGTTCCGGACTGGAGTGTGAAACTCACCTTGGGTGTTCTAGGTAGGGTGGAGCCTGCAGGGGCGGGAGGGGCGGGAGCGGACCTGGAGCCTAGCCCTCTGGCACTTGTAACAAACGCTTCAGCGGGGCATTCCTGAGCCCCAGCCTCCAGCAGGCCGTCACCCCAGGAGCCGGATTGGCGAGGGGAGGGGGGCTCGCCTGTCCCTCTCCTCTCGGAGCGTACTGAGAAGGGTGAGCCAGTGTGTTCAGAACATGCACACGGGGCCGGGGGGGGGGGGGGAGTTGGTGGGACACCTCGTCTCGTAAACTTGTCCTTTCTCACTCTGACGGTTGGGGGGCCCGCCGAGGCTCGGCGCGTGCGCAGTGTATGGTTTCTCTTCTCATGTCAATCTCCGAGATTGACGTGCAGTCACGTGAAGCAGGAGGCAGCCGCGGCGTCAGCGGCGCCTGAGCTGAGGCTGCCCTCCGCTGTGTGGGTCTCCAGTCCTCTGGAAGAGCGCGCTTGCTATTCTCATGCATCCGGCTCTCTTGGTTTACATAGTTGCATTAATTGAATGAGCTTTATCGGATGCTCATTTGAATGTTTATATTAAAAAAAAAAAAAATCCCGGGTTGGCACATTGGGAAACCAGCGTGAGGGGCCCAGCAAGCTCTCTCTCAAGGTGAAGCTTTTCCAGGTTTTGTTGAGAAGACACCTGCCAGCACTTCTGGAAACTGAAATTAACAGAAGCAAATTCACCAGAAGGGAAAAATCTCAGGCCAACATAGACAAATGAAAAGGGCTATTAAATTTTTTTTTTTTTACACCTTTGAAAATTGGAGGCTTGGTGCGCAGAGGTCGGCCATCTTTCCCCTGGGACGTACGATTATCTAGCTCGCGGCGGCGGATCCTCAGTGACAACTCTAGCAGTTGTGTTGTAGAAGAAGTACTGCTCCCGGTGGCAATTAGTGAGGAAACTGTTATAAATTATTTTAACTGGAAAAAAAGCCCTCCTTTTCGACTGGCCTTTTGCCGAATACAGCAGACAACATTGCCGCTTGCAATTGGTACTTTATTCCTCGTTTTTGTATGAAATGACTTTATCCCATCTTTTTTTGCATGGATTTCTACCAGGAAAAGGGATTTCCCATGGAAGTCCTGTCTTATTCCCGGTGAAGGGGAGAAAATGTCTACTGGCAGGTATGAATCTCAAATGTGACGGCATTTCTGATGCCTTATGGAGACGCTGGGGGCCTCCCGGTGCCTCCCCGGCAGGATCCTAATGCCTCTGCAGCTCTAGCCTTATGGTTTCGAGGTAGGAGAGCTGCTCTCCAGGCTCCCCGAGGACACAGGAAGAGAGGGGAGGAGCCCCGTGCCAGACCTATGCTGGTCTTTTCGTGGGGCTGTGGACACAGAACCCAGAGACCCCACACAGCCGCTCTCCCCCCGAGAGGGTCAGCTTCTGCAGGTCCGGAGTTGGCCTGCTGTGAAACGCTCTGCGCCCTGCTGCTTCCAGCAAGCCGTCTGAACCTCCCGGATGTGCACGCACGCTCCTGGTCAGGGCTGAGACTCGGGGGGGGCGTGTTCCACTGTGGCCTCCGCTGGTGCCGTCGTGCCCTCCCCCAGAAGCCAGGACAGCGGTTTCTGAGGGCCTGCGTTCTCCACCGGCTTCCTCTCCTCCGAGGCCTTCCTCGGGCACCCAGCTGTCCTCCCGTTTCTTGGGGACTAGCTTCAGGTACAGCCCAGTCTGGGCCATCCGGTGGCTGTGCCCGGATGGTGTCTCGGCCCCCTTGATGCTCAGGGCTGAGGGCTCCTTTTAGGAGGCATGAAGTTTCAGTTTTGTTTCTCCAAAAGCTTACTTGGCCCCTCTTCTTTATAGACTAGACTCCTGGAGGAGGATGTAAGAGGAAGAGATTCAGTCAGACCCAGAGGTGAGGACGTGGTGCCCTTCCCATCAGAGAGGCTGCAGCTGTGTTCTTGGGGGGAGGGGGGGGTGCTGTGTCCTATTAGCATCCTTCAAGTCACAAAGCTGGTTCTTGGTTTGAAAATCCTGTTGTAGGAATGGCATTTACACATTAAAAAGAACCTTTTAAAGGACAATTGAAGGGGCAAGAGAAAATAGGGCAGTCTAGGTGGGGTGGAGGGCAGTTTTAAGTGTCGTTGGCGGGGCTCCCTGCCCAGTCACCTTCACCCTGGGGCTGGGGCTGCCCCTGACCCCGAGGAGCTAGCCCTGGGCCTGAGATCCTTGGCTGCGCCCTGCCCCCAGGAGCCAACTTCCCTTCCCTCCCCCCGCCCCAATTTTATTTAGTAACTTGGGTCCTTCCAGCACAAAGTGGGTGGCTGCCCCAGCGGCTTCGGGTTACGGCCTGTGCTGGACCATCATCTCAGTTGGCCACCTTCCTGGCGGGCTGTAGACGATCTGACATTTTGAGACAAGCCGAGAGTCAGGAGCGGGGACTTTGACTCTTCTCTTAGGAAGCACACACACACGCAAGGGCAAGGCTGCTGGCAGACTTTCCCATCGTCCTTATGTTGTCTGTGTTGTATTTTTTTTTATTGACCGTGGTGATTTTTTAAATCATTAATGTATTGGAATGAGCTGTAGCCCATATCTCGTGCTTAGTTTTTTTCTCCATCTTCTCTTGGCTTCCTAGAGTTTGGACCTATTCCAGGGCTAAGGGCTTTTACTCAAACCGCAGGAAAAGGCTTTAAGTAGCGTGTGCATGTCATGCATGCATATATGTAGTCTGGGGAGAAGGCAGATAGGGTTCAGCCTGGGTCCTGAGCTCACCTGCGGCCCCTCTCTGTCATCCTTAAAAGGATGAGGGAGGAAAAGGAATCTGGGACTGTTCCCAGGACGGTTTCCAAGGGGATTACCCGTAGCAAGAGCGGGCCTGAGTTGTTTAGTTCTGGACTGTGTGACTTTTTAAGTGGCAGAGTTGGCCCCAAGATCTACATGTGTCCCCACTTTACTAGAAGAAAACCGCAACACAGCTGCGTTGTACCATTTTTTGTGGCATGAATGTTCCCTCCTAGATCATCCTTTTAAGGAGCATCAACTACTTCCCCAGAGGGTGGGAAAGCAAAACACGTACACAAGAGGCTGGGGCTCCGACGGCAGGCAGTGGGGAAATGACATGCAGGCAACTTTCCAGAAACACAGCTCGCCCATCAACTCGCCGATCGTGTAAACTGGATTGAGAGACGCTCTCAGTGATTCTGTAATTGATTTTTTTTATGCTGATGTACACTCTAGCATTCTGGTGTTTTTATATTTATGTAATAATTTCTTAAAACCATTCAAGACAGAGAACTATTTAATTTTTTTGAAGAAAGTTGGAAAGGTCTCTCCTCCCCAGGACCGTGGCTGGGAAGAGTCAGGGGCCCAGCGGCTCAGCATCCAGAAGCAGCCACCGCCCCCCCCCCCCCCGGGGGGCTGGCTAAGCATGTGGCAGCATGTACAAACAGGCAGCTCGGAGTCACCTGCAGGCTCTCCCCCCCAGGGATGGAGCCTGAGCCCCCTCCCTCCCCTTCTTCACTCACCTCCCTGCTGCTGTTGCAACGAGGCTGTTCCGGACTCTCTCTGGTGATGTGTATTGGGGTGGGGGGAACAGAGTGTGGAGGATGCTGATGGCCTTCACTTCTCAGCCAGCCTGACCTTTGAATACCTTTGTAAAAAGCATGTATGTATTTATAGTGTTTTAGATTTTTCTAACTTTTGTATCTTAAGAGCAGAGCACCTGTTTAAGCATTGTACCCCTATTGTTAAAGATCTATGTCCTCTCTTTCCCCTGTAAGTGCCCTTCTAATAAACTTTTCATTGGAAAGCTCCTGGCACAGGAGCTCAATCTCTTCTTGCGGGGTGGGGAGAAGATTTTAAAGGGAGCCCCGAGGGATTCCAGGGGCTTCAGCAATGTCTCCAGCACCCCCATTCTGCAACAGCCTCTTTCACTTACCCAGGGTACTCTGCAGGGCCAGCCTGCCCTCCAGCGACACCAGGCGCCTCCCCCTCGCTTCCCACGTCTAAGTCGCTTCCCACGTCTAAGCACCAGTCCTATGTGCTGTGCCCGTGTGGACATTGGGCATCCAGTCGCTTGTCAAAGACCTTCAAGTACAGGAAAATGAGTGCCGCCACGTTCATCCTCCCAGAGGCGTGGAGGTAGTTTTAGATTCCTACAGAAGGAGGTTTTCACACTTTGTCAGTGCCTGTGAAAACTCCCAAGGAGAAAAAGACTATTTGGTTGAATCTTCACTGACCCCAGATAATGTGGATTAAGAAACAAGATTAAAATGAATAAACAATTTTTGTGAGGGGAGCAAGGAGGATGTCATGGGGCTAGAGTAATCCTTTAACTGGGCCGTTCCTCTAGTATTTTCCTGCTAAGGAACTCCCCAAACACCTCCCCTAGCAGTTGGGAGGCTGATTTCACAGGGCGGCTCCTCTGGGCCTAGAGATTGGGCCCCCACAGCCTGCATCAAATTCCTACTTTCAGAATTATTAGTTCTACCGTCCTGTCCCGGTCTTCCCCAAAGATTTAGCCAGTATATTTCTCAGCAAATGACCCAAATCCCCATCTCTAACCCAACCTTGTTCCTTCAGATCCACAATTTTAAGTTCCAGCTGCCTAGTAAATGGGATCCAAACCACAACAGCCCCAACCCAAGTTCTCTTCCACATCGCTCAAGCTGGCACTTTTTGGGGATTCCCCACTTTTATTAGCCTGCCCCCCCGTCCCTCTCCCCCATCCTCCAAGTCCCGAGCGGTTCTATGCATCTCTCTCCCGTGCTCGCCATCCCGTTGACCAAGCCCCCCTTTCGGGAAGGCCCCACTCCCTGACTGTCCTGGGCCTCCTATGCAATCTTCTCTCTTGGGCCTGCGCCTACTCCTTGCGGGTCGGTGTTCCCAGACCACTGTATGCACTCTTGACATTCCTTCCTGAGTGATCTCACCTCCCCACATGATTTCAAGCTCCATTAATGCTAATGACTCCCAAGTCAGTATTTATAGCCCAGACATCAATCCCAAGTTTTAGACGTGTATCCAACAGCCTACTGGCGCATGGACGTGCCACAGTACCTCGCACGATCGTAAAAGTGGGATTCATCACTGCCCTCGTTAAACCACCTCCCTCTCCTCTGGCCTACACCCCAGAAACCACAATCACCCCGCACTCCCTCACCCCCACAGCCACCCAGTCCTGCTTGTCCACGCTCCCTGCCCTGTACTTTAGGTCCTTAGCACCCAGACAACCACACCAGCTCAACAGCTCCTGGCCCCCGCCTTCCGGGAAAGGCATCATCCACACTGCCCTGTGACCCGCATGACCTCAGACGCCCTCCCACCCCCCGGGCCACAGCACAAGCACCAAAGCCTTTCTCAGGGACCCCTGGGCTCTCATCACATGGCCGCTATCAGGCTGTCACAGCTATTACGGTCTGCAACCCGGCAGCCGACAGGCGCTGCAGCTCCGTACAGACTCCCCTCCGTGCCGAGCCCTCTTCCCCAGCCCATGCTCGCCGCCCCTGGGCCTGCCTGACACCCCAGCAGGTCTCTGCAGCACTTTCACCAACGCTTTGGGACTAGGTCAGACATCGCCTCTAGAAAGTCTCCCACGATGTATGGCCAGGGGGCCCAACTGTGTGGGGACTTTGTTCGCTTTCCCCTCTAGGCTCTGGGTTCCCAGTGAGCAACGTTTATATCTTCCTGTACCCCTGCCTTCGGGCCACCAATTTTTGCTGAATAAATGAATCCGTTACTGCCCATATCTAGCAGATTCTACCTTAGCAATATCTTTTACATTTGCTTCCACTGTGCTACCCTATATAAGTCCTTACATATGCTCGAAGGAACACCACTCATCAGTTCCGGATTACTGTTTATCTCAGGTATTCTGATGTTCTCCTAACATGTCCCCCCTCTAGTCTGGGGATGGCACATAGTGAAATTACCACCCTTCCATTTCTCTACTCATGGCAAAAACACCACGAATCCCAGTGCTGGGTCTGTTCTCAGCCTCAGAATCCTTCTCAACACAGCTGTCCTGGCAGGTGGTGCTAATCAATTAGTTTGGGCGACCACTGCTGCTAGATTTCGCAGCAATGTAATTATGGTTAGATGTCTTTTCCGCTCCAAACCCGTTGGGCTCCTTGATTACCTCCCAAGTAGGCACTGGCTCCACGAAGTAGTATTTCAAGGTTTTCTCCCAATTCCACTCCATCCTTATTTACCACTGTTTCTCCAGCTGGACTATGTGGGTTTTCCCAACATAACCCCTTGCTTTCTCTCCATACCTCTGTCCATGCCGCAACTTCCACTGAGAATTTGCTGCCTCCGCTCACCCATCTGCCCCAATTCATACCCTAGCCCTGGCTCAATTTAAGCATCACTTCCTCTACGTCAGTGGGTCTCAAAGTGTGGACCCTGGCCAGAGCATCAGTAAGCACCCGGGCTGGTCAAAACATACTTTCTCAGGCCCCGCTCAGGACCTAGTGAACCAGCAACTCCGGGGCGCGGCCCGACAGGTGACTCCAGCACGGACTCAGGCTTGAGAGCAGCGCTCCAAGCCGTGCTTTCCGCTCTCCCCAGCCTGCTCTGCTCTCTCCTTCCCACAGCAATCGAGGCTGGGCACAGCACTTCGCCTGCTGCCCAACATCCTACCTTTGTGGCCTCATCTTGCTGGCCCCCTACCGTCACCTGGGTTGGACGAGGTGCTTCCAGAGAGAACCTGCGGCCTTACCCAAGCCTGTGGTCTCTGCCACGCCTGGCGCAGCCTGGCGCCAAGAAGGCTCACCATCAGTGCTGGACCCTGAATCCAGTTTCAGCTCTCACCTGGGTAAAGGAATGCGTTACGGTTGCTCTTCCTCAACTCCAACCTGAAGCCTCCTAACTTCCCCACTGACGACATCCTGAGAGGTTTCCAGAGTGGCAGGATTTGGTGCAGACCGTGTCCTTGGGCTTCAGATGAAGAGGATGGTCTCCTAAACTGTGCCGTTTCCTACCCCAGACCTCACTTAGCCCACATTTTTGTAGCATTAAAGCCACCTGGTTGATAAGAGAAAAGGCAGAGGCAATGATTGGTCACCTCCTTCACAGGAGAGAACCAGGGAGGCTGGTCATGAACCGCTTTATGTGACTGTTTATGCCCCCCAGATTTGTGCTTGTGGGGAGAGAGGGTTTGGAACTATCAACAGTTACAGACATAACAGCATTTTAGAGGAAAAATTTTTCTTCCCAAACCTGTGTTCTAAAGATGCGGTAATAACTATGATGTCCAGGTTCTGAATCAATACTTTTCCAACAGGAAACAAGGTAGAACCACAAATCATTAAAAGCTGAAATGGGGCTCAGTGGTGTTCCCACAAAAGGCCCACGTGGTTACTATTACCTCTCTTCTTAATTCTTCACTGCACGTCAGAGAAACACCTCAGAATCGAGCAAGATGCCTCCTAGTCTAGAATTTGGCAAACACACACACTAAACTCTGGATAAACAGCTCGACATTAAGAGCAAGACTCATGATATTAATAACAGGCCAGGTAGTGCCAAAAATATGAAACTGAGAATTTTTAAGACCTTTTCTGCAACAGCTTCTATGCCAGAGATGCAAGGATAGATCACTACACTAAACCCTAAGTGGAACCTAAGTCAGAACGTGAACTTGGCCCTGCACACTCGGCCTGCTTTTAGGAGACATACAAATTCCGGGAAAGTTCATCGTTAGGGTGTTCTCCAACTGATCCTGCATGAAGGCAGTACACTTGACTGGATTTTTCACTTTCTCCAACTCAAGTCCTCCAGTAAGATTTGGTATTTAATGACGGAATGCCATACCTGAATTGTTTGACCGCTTTAAATTTGGGGTTGGGGGAGTGAAGGACTCTACCTCATTACACAATTCTCTGAAGCTCTGTCTCCATCAATCAGAACGTTCAATGAATCAGAACCTCTGACCACACTGGACACATGTTTGCTAAATTTAGCTTTGCATCAGCAAGCACTCAGAATAGTTCAGGGAGCACTCAGCTTACCCTTAGACAGTGATTCTTCTAAGACTGCTTTTCCATGGCAGGCCAGCGCAGGGCCAGGGGCACTCCACGTGCTCTCTCGATGGCCATTGTTATGGGACTGGCCTAAGGTGAAAAAAATCCGACAGGCCACAGTGAAGATGTTTATTCCCCTCCTCTCCACAGTGGGGAACAAGAAGGTAGCCATATGTCCCATTTCACGAGTTACAGGGAGTCTGCAGTGATGGCCTGACATGCTCGATGGTCCTTGAACCACATCCCATATTATTCAGCCGTCCAAGTCTAGCGTCCCTGAATCTCTTGCTTCTCTGAATTAGATGTGGCCAAGTTCTATAAATAGAGAGAAAGCAAACTGGTTCTGTCAATCTTCTCATACTCTGGCAGGGTAACATATTTTAAAATTATAAAAATATCTATGTCTTCATCACTCTAAAATTATTACATAACACATGATTTTCTGAGGGGAAAAAAAAGATTTATTTTTGTCTCTCCCTACCTTCCAACTCGTGGAGCTTCAAACTTTGTCATCAGTTTCATCAAACTAGCATATGCAAATCGAAGCCAAAATTCAGGGCCTACTATGTGCCCAACTCTGTGTTACACAGATAGAGAAATGGAGGGGAAAAAACCCGAGTCTCACTTTAAATCTCAGACAGACAGTCCACAGTAACTTGTGTCGGCACGTACATAGGTCACATGAGACTTTTTTTTTTTTTTTTTTTTGAGGAGAGGAGAGGAGTGGGGAGGGGCAGAGGGAAAGAGAAAATCTTAAGCAGGACCCTCGCCCAGTGCAGAGCTCAACGCAGGGCTTGATCTCACAACCCTGTGATCATGACCTGAGCTGAAATCAAGAGTCAGACACAGGTGCCCGAGCCCCCCAGGCGCCCAGGTAGAATGCAACTTTTATGGCACTACTAGCTCACGCTCACTCTTCTTAACATGGGCCTTTAGGAGACAAGCCCTGGACACTTTATCCCCTGTATCCCCTGGAAGGGGCCAACAGCCCCAGAAAGCTGAGGTCTTTTTTAAGTTTTTGAGAGAGAGAGAGAGAGAGAGAGAGAGAGAGTGTGTGCATGCGTGTGCATACGTGCACAAGTGGGGGGAGGGGCAGAGGGAGAAGCTGACTCCCCGCCGAGCGGGGAGCCCGATGCGGGGCTCGATCCCAGGACCCCGGGATCATGACCTGAGCCGAAGGCAGACACTTACCCGACTGAGCCACCCAGGCGCCCCAAAAGCTGAGGTCTTGAAAAGGTCAGTTGATGTTATACTTATATGTGGTAGATTCCAAAATTGTGAGTTTGACAAACTCCAATTACTATTTATGCCTAATGTCAAGTAAGGCTTCCCCCAACACATCCCCTACTAAGAAACAATAGAATCACACATTAGCAGACTTTATAAATAAATCATCTTTTAATCACCTGGCTTTGTTTAATCCACAAAATCACATTCACAGCTTTTTCTAGTCTGTCTTCCCTCCATGTGACCTGATATACTTTTTGGAACCCTTCATGTTTTAAGAAGAACATTCTGCCTTTCATTTTGCAACCCCAGAGCCAACTTCCCTTGCATTCTTAATCAACAGCTAATGCAGTCACCTCAAAGAAACAACGATGGTATGGTGGTCAACTATAGTCTCAAAGATCTTCAGAATAGTTAAAAGAGGAGAGGAAAAAAAAGAGGGGGGGGGAAAGGTCACCAAGCCAGAGAACTGCCAATGTTGCCTTTGATGATGGCTCTTCCTTAATGCTCCAGTCACTGAAGCCTTCCCTCCTGGTGGCTGCCCTGGCCCAGGACCTGGAGCATTCCACTCCTCCTGCCATTCCTTCCGCAGTGCTTAGAAGGCGGCGCTGGGGGGTCTAAAACTTGTTTCTGCTGGTGACCTAAGGATTTCCCAGTCCAGGCAAGGCCAGGAGCGGCTGTCAGCCTGTGTGCCAGCTGGGGCACCATGCGCCAGTCTAGAACCGTGGCCGTGGCTACCACAGTGAAGGTCAATGGCATGCATTACCAAGTGTCTACAAACACAGAAATAGGGATTTTTATTTACTGTAGTTCCCACCCTTCCTTTGGAGGTGGACCTTCCTGTGGGTGACCCCCGACTCCCAGCCCTGGAAGTCACACAGGCCCTCAGAGCTTCATCGCCTAACCTTTCACATCCTTTCCCCGCTTGCCCACCCTGCGGTGTGACCACGTTAGCAGTGATCTGTTGGGCATTCAGAGACAAAGGGGGGGGAAACTACCTTGTTTTGAGGGTAAAGTGTGACGACACAGCTCTGATATGCTCTAAGGAAGACGAGTTTCCTCCTGGCAGGACTAATGTAAAAGCCTCCAGATACGATCACATACTGCCTCAATGGCCCAGAACAGGGAATTCCTGAAGTTTCTTTCTCTCTCTCAAACACAAACCTCCCACCCCACTCCCAAACAGCAACTTAGTAGATGAGTTTGTTTTATCCCTACCGGAGTAGGACACCTTGGCCTCCTCTAGCATTGTCTAAAAATTCACCCTCGTTTCTCAGCAGTTTCTAGCGTGAGCTGAGACACTCTTTCAGATGAAATGCCCAGAGGCGTTTTTAGCGCGAGACTAAGCCGAGGGCCACGGACTCTGGCCCCACCTACCCGGTGGCACAAATTAAATTTGCAGCAACTTCCTTTCCTACCATCAAAAGCACCAAAGCTCAGGGTGCCAAGCTCCCTGAAAGCGAAAATCCAGAAGCCCAAGGAAAGGTGGACCAGCTCCTGATCTGCAGGAATCGGGTGTGACCACAGAGGACACTCTGGAAAAGGTGGGCTGGGAATGGCGTGGTCCTTCTGCAACTGGGGCAAATCACACAGACCTCTGAGCCTTGTTTCACTCCCGTCCCTAGAGACAGTGTCCTTGAAAAACTCTCACTCCTTGTCGTCATTATCCTCCTCGCTCCCTTACACTATACTGAGGGACAAAACCCCTACTATACCCTACGAGAAACTATAAGTAAGGTGGCCCTAGAACTAAGTCAGGTGGCCAACAGGATGATGGGAAGTTAAGCCAAACAGAACAGGGTGAAGCAGGGAAGTGTCTGAGGCTGTCAAACCCTAGCGCAAATAATTTAGTGTTCTTCATCAGATGAAAGGCCTTCAATTTCATCTCTGTCTCCCCCAATTGCCATCCAGAAGGCTTTGGCCACCTGTGGAGAGAAGCATGCAACACATTTTAGGTAAGAGCTACCCTGCAGCTTGTGTCATGAGTTAGTCAATATGCTGAACTGATCAAGGCCTAAAATTCTACCCCCTGCCCTCCAGTTCTCCCGCCCCATGTATCCAAACCCTTGACTACCCTGACCCAGGACTTCCACTTCTAGAATTTATACTAAAGATGAAATCAGAGTTACATACAAAGGTGGTGGATGTGTAAGGTTATGCACAGCTTCACTATTTATAGAAGCAAAAAATGCACATGACCTAAATGTCCGAAAGGGAAATGAATAAATTAGGACACATTCATACAATGAAATACCATAAACCACATACATTTCCTGCCAAGAACATGTGTTGTGTTGGTAATAACAAAACAATACAAAACAAAATGACTAAGGGTTTTCCAGCCCAACAGTTAGGAAGGCAAACATCCTGAGTCTCAATGAAATTTCCATGTCACTCAACATACATTTGAAAAATCTTGGTTTGACTACAGCAATTATATTACTACTGTGTAAACATCCAATTCGTTCCAAGTTACTATCCAATGGAAAGTTCACACTGAAACAAGTCTAGAAGTCAACAAGTGTGATACATAATTCTAACAGCATCGGACCTTTTCATAGATACTCAATAAATACCTGACTGGTCGTCTCACCTTTTCTGCATGCAACTTTCTTTGCTCGTGAGGAAGCGTCGCAGCCTTGTCTAGGGAGAAAATAAATCTTAAGAAATTCATCTAATAGCACAGGAGAGTCTGGAGTGTATGGATGTTCTAACGCTAGAAGATGGGAGATGGATTTCAAAGACAAATGCTTATGGTGCAGTCATTACAGCTGTTAGGGAGTTTAAGTCTTCCCGATTTTCCACACGGGTATGATGTGAGTAAATTGGCAGGGATCTTACTGATTCCAGGTTAATGAGACACACTGAAAGAAACCGAGAGAGGCAAAAGAAGAAGGGACAGTAAGAGGAAAGAGAGTGAAGAAAGAGGAAAACTTTCCCTGGGGAATTTCTACCAACAGAGGATGACACAGTCCCCCAGGCACCAAGTGTCTCCAGACAGCTGAGACCAGAGCAGGGAATCCAATCAGCCGTTACAAAACAAAATCCTACCACATAAAAGAGAGGAGCACCAAGAAGGGGACGTGTTAGACATGATGGAGCCAATTACCTTTCATTTCCTTTAACTTTGAAAACAGTCTTTCAAAATTCTCCAAATCTCCTCCGCCAGTAGTAAGACTGGCCAATTCTTGAATATCCAGATCTAACATGGGATCTGAAAAAAGGATTTGTCACATTATTTGCCAGATATGACTTCTATGTGTGCTAAATACACAGTCCTAAGGCAATGGATCCTAGCTTTGACGGGAGTCATCACTGAATGAGTACTCCACGTGTGGGAAAGCTGCTCGGCTGCTAGCGGGCCTTCACGAAAGAAGAGTAACTTACTTGATCCTTACAACATTACACTGAGGCAAAGAATATGGTTTCATTTTAGAGATGAGAAACGTAGAGCTCTGAGTTCAAGTGACTCGCTCAAGGTCACAGCTAGTGTGAATGCAGATTCAGACTTAGGTGTTTCCAACTCTAAAGGCCACCCTCTCCACTGAGGTGCACCGATCAACAACGGATGTCTGGAATTTATACCGTATTTTCCTGTACAACCAAATATTTTCATATCTATTACTGACAGCCACTATATAAGGTGGTTAGGACAGATATCGATGTCTGAAATTTACACATGAAGGGGCCAAGTGTAAAAATGCACTCATCTAAAATTACAGCTACTCAGAAGTAGAGTCAATTCCTATTTTCTTACTACAAATCCTTTATTATTTCTACCACAGCCTCTTACCTCTTTATCACAATTTGTTTTTAATCAGAATTCTTACTCTCCACTCCATGCTGAACACCTCCAGGAAGTCTTCCCTAGCCAGCCCAGCTCACAAGTCTCCTTCCCTAGAATTCATCCTATACTTTTTATTTTAGACAAAGGGAGAGCGTGCACGTGAGCCGGGAGACGGGGAGAGGGCGAGGCGGGGAGAGAATCCTCAAGCAGACTCCCTGCCGAGCACAGAGCCCGATGGGGGGGCTTGATCCCACGAGCCCAAGATCCCGACCTGAGCCAAAATCAAGAGTTGGATGCTTAACTGACTGAGCCACCCAGAGGCCCCATGATTCCATTTCATTTTTGCAAAGGTATTCTGAGGAAAAATTTTATTTCACAGAAAGGGAAACTAGGGCCCACAGAGGCTAAATAACTTACTCAAGATTATCTCACCACGACTGGAAGAACCATGATTTGAACCCAGTTGTCCAGGACTCCAAGTCCACGACTGTAAGCATTATACTGCAAGGCCTGTCTCTACAGTTTTAGGGTATAAGCCGCTTGAAGACAAGGACAGCTTCTAATTCTTTGCATCTACTACAATGCTATACAGATAATTTGGTATTAAGAATGCATTTTAGCTCATAAATTTGCTTTGGTTCAGTGGACATTTCATGTAGGCAGTTGATAGACAGGGCTAGAGATAAAAATTTGTGATTTATCTGTGTATACATGGTAACTGAACTGGACAGAATCACTTCATGCTTCAATATACATTTGGCAGAGGAGTTTAGATGGAGCACTGAGGAATGGCAATCTTTAAAGGTGGATTTATAAAGGAGGGTCATCTACCAGCGAAAGAAAAGGAATAGCCAGAGAAGTCAGAAGAAAACCAGGAAAATTGTTGGGTGAGCAAGAAGAAATGTTTTAAAAAGGGACTGGTTCATCATATTGAATGCTGCCAAGAGGTCAAGATGAGGACTGGGAAATGTCTATCAACTTCGGTGGCCTGGAGGTCGGTGGTGAACTGTTTTAGTGGCAAGTGGGGCAAAAGCTAGGTGGGAGTGGGCTGAAGAGTAATGGGAGGTCAGGGATGGAAAGAAGTTCAATAAAGAGAAGAGGGAGACGTGGGGTTGACAAGTGTTTTACCCTTGTTGGTTTGGTTTTGCCTTTTTTTTTTTAATTTTGAAATAATTTTAGTATTACAAAAAAGGTGCAAAAACAGTAGGGTTCCACCTTCATCCCCTACCGTTAACCTCTTATCTAACCACAGTACAATGAACACACATCAAGAAGTTAGGAAGTGCTGGGTGCCTGGGTGGCTCAGTTGGTTAAGCAACTGCCTTCGGCTCAGGTCATGATCCTGGAGTCCCAGGATCGAGTCCCGCATCGGGCTCCCTGCTCGGCAGGGAGTCTGCTTCTCCCTCTGACCCTCCCCCCTCTCATGCTCTCTCTCTCTCTCTCAAAAAAAAAAAAAAAAAAGTTAGGAAGTGCTATTAACTAAACTACAGACTTCATTCCAACTTTGTCAGTTTTCTCACTAACATCCTGTTCCAGAAGCTTACACAGAATTCAGCTGCCAGATCTCTGTCTGCTTCTTCAACATGTGACCATTCCTTAGTCTTTCCTGTCTGTCATGGCTTTGACACTTTTGAAGAGTACTGGTCGGTTATTCTGTAGACTGTCTGTCCCTCAATATGGGTTTGTCAGATGTTTTCCTAGGAGACTGAGGTTACGCACCCCTGGCACGGAGACCACAAGCATGATGAGCTCTTCCGGTGCCCTTATCAGGGGGCATGTGATGTCAGTGCACCTTATTGCTGGTGAGCTTCACCACCACTGAAAGGCTACCTGCTGGGTTTCTCCAGGGCAAAGTTACTATCTTCCTTTTTGTACTAAGTAAATATCTTGGGAGGGCTACTTTAGATGATGCAGATGTCATGTTTCTTCTCAAACTTTCATCTACTAATTTTCACATCCATCAGTGGATCCTGATCACAACAACTATTATTACTGTGGTGTGTGGCTGCCAAGGATTTTTCTTTCCCTCACTCCTTCTACGTGTATTAATGAGAATTCTTCTGTAAGGAAGAGCAGCCCTTTCTTCCCCAGTTATTTCTTCTGTTCGCCTGGAGTCACAGATATTTTGTTCTATGGGTTGCAGCCCAATACTAAATTCATTCTCGCTGGTCAAACTGCTCCAGCGTTGGCCACTGGAAGCTCTCTGCAAGGTTGGTTTGCTGCCCCTTCAACACGCCCCCGTCCCTTCCTTACTTTCTGGCCCCATGAGATGGCTCTAGGTTCATCATCCTGAGTTTTTCCTGCCCCGGCCCTAGAATCAATCACTTCCTCCAAGTGGCCCTGGATCCTTTTATTGGCAAATGGTATTTAAAAACCAAGATCTAAATGCTAAGGGTGTTCAACTGCTATTGGGAGTGTGGGTGCTTCCAGGCCCTCTCAGTGGAAATAGGTAGGAAATATATATATACGCATGCATACTAACATGTACACGAACATCTCCATTTATTGCTCTAACTATAAAAGTATGTCATCACGCTAATACCTTGAGCTCTAGCCCAGTACCAAGGGTTCATCCCAGCCTTCTCCTTTCCTTACATGGCTTCTTTCTCAGTGAGAAACCTAGCTCTCATTCTCTATACTTTATTTTTTCAACCATGATATACACAAAATATACATAATTTCAGAATTTCTAAACCATACCCCTATGACAATCAAATGTATTAAGCAGAATTCACTATTCCTGTTCAGTTGTTTCTGTTTGGGGCCTCCTGGTATCCAGTCAGAATGCTGTTTCCCCAAGTTATTTAGGTTAGTTCTTGTCTTCCCTCCCTCCTTCAGTGTGGTTACTGGTTTGTTTTCATGGCAGAGACTTCAGCAGGTCTAAAGCCAGTAAGAGGGACCCAAGTGAGAAGACAAGGTTGAATATACTAGAGAGAAAAGAGATTATATGTAATTTTTCCTTCTTAATATGTGTCTGTTACCAAACACTTAAGTTTTCTACATGGACTCTCTTCTAATCAGCAAAAGAGTTTTGAAAACCCTGCACGTGGGTCCTCTGTGACATAAAGAGAAAGCAGAGATGTCAGTAATTCCCCAACAAAAGGACATTTACAGTTACTGTCAACTACATTTCTTGGCTTTTGGACATCAGAATGGATTCTAGTCTCAGTTCCGGGACCTTCTTGTTAGATGCCCTTGGGCAAGTTATTAAACTGCTCTGGGCCTCGGCTTCATCTCTATAAAATAAGTTCTCTGCCAAACTTCATTACCAAACACGAGAAAGTAGATATAAAAGAATTTTCAAAGGATGTGAAAGGGCTTATAAAGTTGTATTATTCTTGTTACCATCAATTCTACCAACTGTTAAATACTATGAAAAAAACTGGAATATGGAGATATAAAGCTGTCTCACCACCTGGTTCTGTCTGTCTCAGTTAAGATGATCTGAATCAAGATCCTACACTAAGAGAATCGGAGAGAAAATGGTACCCACAGATTGCTTATGTGGTTATTCTCCCTCCTTTTCTGATAGCCATCTCTAAGGCTCACATTCGCTTGGGGTACACTATCAATTTTCTTCCTTTGTTCATGTGTAAAGTCAATTTCTCCCTAGATGATTTATGCCCCGTACCTCTTCCAAGTTCCACAGAGCTGTCTCCTGGCAGCTAAAGGAGGAACTTACCCACGATGCTATCAGCCTGAGCATCTGTTGTGTTAGATGCACCACCCCGATGGTCCAAGAGAGCTTCAGTCCTAGCTGCTGCTGGCAAACGGGGCCGCTGTTGAGGAAAATACACACAAGCAATAATTTAATAGTAGGCTATTTTGGAACTAAAGCCAAAAAGATTCACACTTCCACTCCCTGGTTGGCTTTAGAGAAGCAGTAATAGGAGCTAGAGACAAGGAGAGATGGAAGAAGGATCAATGTCACATAAAAAAAAGAGGCTACAAATTCACTAACTCAGGGTTATTTGCCCTTGAGGAAAAACTAGAAAGTGTTTTGATTCTGCTGTTGGCTATTAAAACATGTCTTTTGTTTGCTTTAAGAGCCATGTTTTATTCAAAATGTGAAAATGAACATAAGCATATCACAAAGAGCTCAAGACTGATGAGAAAGATGCCTGGGAAGACAATATGGCACTGTGTAATTTGCTCTTGGTTCCAACATGCTGACCAAGGTACACTTGAACCAAAATCCTTGAGGACAGAAGGTCAAAGTCAGACTACGAAGCCCACTGAGGGCAGGGGCCCTGCGTCAGATGGGTACAGAGCCTTGGACATAGGAAGTACTGAAAAAGAACCATCGATTTTATTTTATGAAGATCGGGAGGCAACTTCATGTCTCAAGGAAATCCTAGCACATCTTTTAAAGCACTCTAGCAAAAACAAAACAAAACAAAAAAAACCCCATGGAACAGCCCAAATTGCAAACATCTTGAAAGGGCTTACTGCTTTAATGCTGAACTAGCCTTCTCTCAACAGGTACCAGGCACAAGAGGACTGTTTTAGATTCTCTTTTTATCCTTGGTTTACTATTGTCTGCTGCCTCTTAAATGGAAAGGAAAAAATGACAAACGGTATAAAGACTCATAATGACAAGGAGAAATTAAAACCAAAGCATTGAAAGGATCCAGGAAGAATCTTTACCTCTGAGAGACACGTCTCTGCTGACCCAATGCTATGGTTTGCTCCAGCCAATGAGCTAAGAAGGCTAAAGCCTTGGTTCCTATCTGAAAAGAAAACAATACAATCACTGAAATTTGTTATTTACATTTTAAAATGTTAAAATGACTGTGATGAAGAAACAATGGCTATTTCCTCATTATAAAAGTTTTAAGTATAGAAACTGTTACTGTCAGACATCAGGAATTTATATAACTTACTCATACTTACATTTTCTTTATAATTACTATTTGAAAATATGAATTTTTTTGAATAAAAACTTCTTAAAAAAAAAAGTCACTCACAATTACCACATTCTCTCAAATCTGAATAATGTAAAAACTCACAGACACGGGTCAAATATAATGGCAGGGCCATTACAACAAACAAGACCACTCAGTGGTTCTTTTGCAAAGGTTAACAACACTCATGTTTCTTTTCTTCTTTTTTTTTTTTTAACTTTATTTATTTGAGAGAGAGAGAGCAAGAGAGAGAACACGAGCGGTGGAGAGGGCAGAGGGAGAGGGACAAGCAGACACTCCCCACTGAGCAGGGAGCCCGACGTGGGGCTCAATCCCAGGACCCTGGGATCATGACCAGAGCCGAAGACAGACACTCAACGGACTGAGCCACCCAGGTGCCCCTACAGCGTTCATGTTTCAGTAGTCACTATGAACCAATATTCTGGTGTTTTAAACAGTATTTTAAATGTCCAGAAACATTTTTTAAAAATCAACACAAAGGCATCATTATCAGGGGAAAAGGAACATGCATGATTTTTTTAAACAAAGCTTTAATTTTGTGATGGATGAACCATTTGCAGTTAAGGCCCTCTCAATGTTTGTACTTAGAATGGAGGACAAATCTGGAGCAGAACATCTAGAACTGATGACAGTACAAGCATCAGTCCTGATCACTGGGTTCCTCAGAACCACCTGGAACACCTACTAAAACTGGCCTGGTATTCAAGGACCCTATCTCAGACTCACTGAGCCAGAATCTCTGGGGCAGATGCCAAGGAAGCTGAACTTTCCTTTTAGTTTTTATCTTTTTTCAAGTTGATTTATTTATTTTTAGTAATCTCTACACCCAGTGCAAGGCTCAAACTCACAAACCCAAGATCGAGAGTCAACCCCTGAGATCAAGAATGGCATGCTCATCAAACAAAAAGAAATAAAAGGCATCCAAATCAGCAAAGAAGTCAAACTTTCACTCTTCAAGATGACATGATACTTTACATAGAAAACCTAAAAGACTCCACAAAAAATTGCTCTGATACAGGAATTATATATATAAGCAAAGTCACAGGATATAAAATCAATGCACAGAAGTCAGTCGCATTTCTATACATTAACAATGAAGCAGAGGAAAGAGAAATCAAGGAATCGATCCCATTTACAATTATAACTAAAACCATAAGATACCTAGGAATAAATCTAACCAAAGAGGTAAAGGAACTATACTCAGCAAACTATAGAACACTTATGAAAGAAATTGAGGAAGACATAAAGAAATGGAAAAACATTCCATGCTCATGGGTTGGAAGAACTAATATTGTTAAAATGTCTATGCTACCTAGAGCAGTCTACACATTCAATGCAATCCCTATCAAAATACATCAGCATTTTTCACAGAGCTGGAACAAACAATCCTAAAATTTGTATGGAATCAGAAAAGACCCTGAATAGCCAAAGTAACACTGAAAAAGAAAAGCAAAGCTGGAGGCATCACAATTCCGGACTTCAAGCTGTATTACAAAGCTGTCATCATCAAGACAGCATGGTACGGACATAAAAACAGAAACAGATCAATAGAACAGAATAGAGAACCCAGAAATGGACCCTCAACTCTATGGTCAACTAATCTTCGACAAAGCAGGAAAGAATAGCCAATGGAAAACAAACCGTCTCTTTAACAAATGGTGTTGGGAAAATTGGACAGCCACCTGCATAAGAATGAAACTGGACCATTTCCTTACACCATACACAAAAAGAGACTCAAAATGGATGAAAGACCTAAATGTGAGGCAGGAATCCATCAAAATCCTTGAGGAGAACACTGGCAGCAACCTCTTTGATCTCAGCCGCAGCAACTTCTTGCTAGATGCGTCTCCAGAGGCAAGGGAAACAAAAGCAAAGTCGAGCCAATATTGGGACTTCATCAGGATAAAAAGCTTTTGCACAGCAAAGGAACAGTCAACAAAACTAAAAGACAACCGACAGAATGGGAGAAGATATTTGCAAATGACTAATCAGATAAAGGGCTGGTATTCAAAATCTATAAAGAACTTATCAAACTCAACCCCCATATAAATAATCAAATCAAGAAATGGGCAGGGCGCCTGGGTGGCTCAGTTGGTTAAGCGACTGCCTTCGGCTCAGGTCATGATCCTGGAGTCCCGGGATCGAGTCCCGCATCAGGCTCCCTGCTCGGCGGGGAGTCTGCTTCTCCCTCTCCCACTCCCCGTTTGTGTTCCCTCTCTCGCTGTGTCTTTCTCTGTCAAATAAATAAATAAAATCTTTAAAAAAAAAAAAAAAAGAAATGGGCAGAAGACATGAATAAACATTTCTCCAAAGAAGACATTCAGATGTCCAACAGACACATGAAAAAAATGCTCAACATCACTCGGCACCAGGGAAATACAAATCAAAACCAGAATGAGATACCACCTCACACTGGTCAGAATGGCTAAAATTAACAAGTCAGGAAACAACAGATGTTTGTGAGGATGCGGAGAAAGGGGAACCCTCTTATACTGTTGATGGGAATGCAAACTGGTGCAGCCACTCTGGAAAACAGTATGGAGGTTCCTCAAAAAGTTAAAAATAGAGGATATAAACATAGTGATTCGAAGGGGCATACACACCCCAATGTTTATAGCAACAATGTCCACAATAGCCAAAATATGGAAAGAGCCCAGATGTCCATCAACAAATGAATGGATAGAGAAGATGTGGTATATGATGGAATATTACTCAGCCATCAAAAAGAATGAAATCTTGCCATTTGCAATGACGTGGATGAAACTAAAGGATATTATGCTAAGCGAAATAAGTCAGAGAGGGACAAATACCATATTATTTTACTCATGTGGAATTTAAGAAACAAAACAGATGAACATAGGGGAAGGGAAGGAAAAATAAAATAAGATAAAAAGAGAGGAAGGCAAACCATAAAGGACTCTTAACTACAGGGAACAAAACTGAGGGTTGCTGGAGGGGAGGTGAGTGGGGGATGATGTAACTGGATGATGGGCATTAAGGAGAGCACGTGATGTAATGAGCACTGGGTGTTATATGCAACTGATGAATCACTGAACTCTACCTCTGAAATGAATAATATACTATATGTTAATTGAATTTAAATAAAAATTAAAAAAAAACCACTTCTAACTTCACTAAAGATGGTATTAGTTGGGGGGTGAAAAAAAAGTAGCATGCTCTTCTGACTGAGCCAGCCAGGTGCCCTGGAAGCTGAACTTTTAGCAAGTATTCCAGGATAATCTGAGGATCAGGTAAATTTGGGGAAAAAAAAAAATCACTGCCTTAGAGTAGAATGTGAAACCCACACTCCAAGAGTCTAATGGTATACAAGTCAAAGAACTTCTCTCTCAAAAAGACAACTTCCTTCCCCTTGTCTTTCTTCCCTCCCTCTCTTCCCTGAACCCATCCTCAGGTCTTTAAACCACCTATAATTTCCTGCGTCCTCTCCCCTGTCAGGTAAAACCTGTTGTCACACAGTCACACAGAGGTCGTGAAAGAAGAGAAACACTTGCGGTCTCTGTCCTTCGAGATTTGTCTTCTAACACGGGGACGAAGCCCCGACCGTGGCATACCAGGCAGAGGCCCACAGCTTTCCCCAGCCTGACCTCTCACCACGCAGGCAGCTGCACGCGCCAAAAACCCCTGCTTTTCTCACACCATACCCCAACAGTGGCAGCAGGGCCAATGGGGCCCCTGTACCCCCGGGACCCCTTTCACCTCCTTATCCAATTTGCTCACTCTGCCAGGAACGTTCCAGGCCAAATACTCGGGTGCGCCCATCCCAGCACCAAGCACTAAGGTGTCACAAGTAGGCAGTGGAGGCTCAGGGGCCAAGAGAGGTAGATCCACGTGGGGTCTCACACTGACGGCTGGCTGTACGGAGCCTCTGGATGTTTATTTAAACATCAGCATAATTCCGTCTTTTTGGCCACTGTTCTAATCTTAAAGCTGTTGTATGTAGTTCAATACTCCGACAGGGATTTTCCATGTCATGAGAGCTCTTATAGTCTACCTGAGGCTCTCTGCACGAAGGGCATTATCCAAGTCACAGAGTACTGCTGTAAGAGAGCCCGCACTTCTATTACTGGAAAAACGTTGGGCTTGGGGTAATTTTCAAATCCAATTCACAAATATCTCCATATTCCAATTCCACGGCTTATGTTTTTCCCGTTGGGCATTACCTAAACTTGGCAGGCCAGGTTGCAATCCGGGAAGAATAATGCAATATTGTGTCAATTTAGACAAGTCATTAGATCAAAACCGTCTATTTAAAATTCCTCACTTCCAGCCACTATAATTGGCTGCTTCCAAGGAGGGGTCTGGAATGGACAGAAGTTAGGGGAGCTAGACTGAGCACTGCAGATTATGAACCTCTGTATGCCTTTGGACTTTGGTTCCATGTTCATGTGTTTACCTACTCAAAGAGATCTTTTTTTAACGTAATGATTATATGCTATGTGTATTTTATCACAATAAAAAAAGTGAATGCCCCACTTCTAATAATGAGTAAGATGATGAAAAAGTCTGAATAGTGGGAAGAGAACTGGGCTACAGGTCAGAAAGCCTGGATTTCACTCCTGGCTCTGCCTACTAGTGTGACCCTGGGCAAATTCATCAATCTTTCTGCGTCTCAATTTTCTGCTCTATAAAATAAGAGGGGTACTATTCGTGGTTGTTCAGGTCCTTTTTGCTCTAGAAGTCTGTGATTTTATGAAAAGACACTCTTTCACCTCGCTTACAGTAACTTTGATCTGCTGGGCTTTTTTTTTTAATTACTAAATAAAAAACAAGAATCTTAAATTTCC